TGAGCATTAGCACATGTAATCACATGTGAACACACATGTATTAACACACATGAACATGGGGAAAAATTATCAGGTATGCCAAGGTGTAAGACCAAATGACTGAAAACCAAGAGAAAAAAAAAGTGGACATTAGAAACCAATTCTCAGGCTATCTACATATTAGCTTTATTACAAAAACAATTTAAAGTTAAAATTACTTTGTAACTTTTTTAACACCAAAAATATGTTTGAGAGAATTATATGCAGATGATGGAGCTGGGCCTGCACACGGTGGTCCAGTTATCACCGTGGCACTTGGAAGATAAGAGGGTGGCCTCAAGTTCAAGACCAACTACTTGTCTACATACTCAGATCAAGGCCAGTCAGGGTAACATAATGAGATCCTATCTTGAAGGAAATAAAGAAAAAGAAAGCAAAGAAAAAGAGAAAATGGAGAATTTAATTTGTAAACTAGGGAACCAAGTGGAAATAATAGAAAGAAAAAATATAACTGAAGCTAAGGGGTCATCAGATTGATTTAACAACAGATTAAACAGAGGAGAATAGCAAATGAAAGGTCAGTAGAAAATACTGTAATTGAAAAAGAGAAAAGTTAGAAAATATAGGGAAAAACTGAGAGGGGCCTGGCTCCAGAGAAAACGTCTCATGCTTGTGTGTTGGGGGACTGTGGGGGTGACTCAGCAAAAAGGAGAGAATAGAGAGACACAGACGCAGTATTTGAAGGACACTGGCTGAGAATTTTTCCTAATTAATAAAAGCCATCAAAGCCACAAAGTGGCTCCACAGATCACAAAGAGGAGACTAACTGAACACTGTCATAATTTATTTAAAAATGACGGAAACACGTCACGTCTTACAAGAGGGCTCACATGGAAGGTTTATGGGAAGAGGAAAGAGAAGAGGCAGGGGCCAGGATACACCAGTCTTTGGTGACAGGAGTATCAGAAGAGGGGGAGAGAGAGCAAAGGAGAGGGGCGGGAGGTAAGCAAGACTGCCTTTTATAAGGGAACACGGTGAATGTGCACGGGGTGCTCTTAGTGGCTGCAGCTGAGGAGATATCCTGTCAGATCCCCAAGGGCAGGCCAGTACAGATGCCTGAATACTAACATTTCTCCCTTTTGTTTATTATAAAAAGACAAGGAGTTAGAAAAGGAGTAGCAGGTGAGGTGGGGATAAGGCCGCTCTGTTCTCAAGCCTGCTTCTTGCTGACGTGGGGACGTCACAGTCTTTGGGGGACCTAAGAAAGCTGGGGTGCTGGTCAAGTCCAGGAGTAGCTGGCTGTTTCTCTATGAGACTGAATCAATCTAGTGTAGCCCAGGAGGGCCTTGAACTCACAGAGACCTGTCTGCCTCTGCTTCCCGAGTGCTAGGATTAAAAGTGTGTGCCATCACTGCCTGTCTTCTTAGGCTGACTAGTGGCTAGCTGCACACTCTGATCTTCAGGCAAACTCTATTTGTTAAAGCACAAACAAAATATCACTGCACAAGGCAGTTGATGTTGGTGTCCTATGAAGCTTAAATGAGCAGGGTCCCAAGTCCAGGTGAAGTTCCTGTGGCATTTTAACAAGGGTGTTTCTTAAAGAGCAGTTAGTTTGTTCTATCTTTCCTGAGAACTGTCTCCATCTCTGACTCCCACATTGCAGCAGACCTAGATAGACAGGAAATTTACAGAGGAAGAGCAGACAGACACAGGCAGGTTTTTTTGGAGCAATGAAAAGAAAGTGGAGAATTCTTTTTGGTTCCCCGATGTTATGATAACTCTTCCCAACAGCCTGGGCCCACTGCCATATCAGCCTCAAATGAACACACAAGACTTATATTAAGCTTGGGCTTCTTATTGGATAGCTCTGTCTTAATTATTAACCCATTTCTATTAATCTAAGTGTTTCCACGTGGTCTTATCTTACCGGAGAAAGAGCCCGGACTGTTATTCCTCTCACGTCCTACATGGCGACTGACTGCCTACGTTTCCCAGAGTCCTCCTCCTCTTGTAGTCCCACCTATCTTGCTTCCCTATTGGCCAACAGTCCTTTACTCATCAGCCAGTAAGACAAACATGTATACAGAAGACATTCCCCATCATCTCCTCTTTTCTGTGTAAATAGTTTCAACTTTAACATAGTAAAATTACTTATAGCAAAACAGTTATCAAGTAAGAACTGTAGTTAGAATATTTAGTCCATTAACATTTAGCAAGGCTTAAAGAAAATATTTCATCATCTATCCTATCTTTGTGAGTCTAAAGTTTTTATGTAACTTATCTTTTATCCTAACTAAGGAAAACTATAACCATAACTATCTGTTTTAAACTCCATCAAAGACCTCAGAAGGATAATATATAAACTATAGAATTGACAGAGACATCTTGCTGCCTGCACAATCACCCAAAGTTCTGTAAATTGGAGCATCCATCTTCAGCCCATAGTCCATAGTGTGTCTGACAGACTTATCAGTGAAGCAGGAAATTTTAAACTGTCTGTCTGTATTGGTAGTTTGTCAATCATTTTTCTCTGTGTCCTGAAGAATGTCTGGCAGACTCTTCCATGAAGCAGGAACCCCTCAGGGCTGTCTTGTTTTGCAAATACAGCAGTCACTTTCCTGTGGGTCCTGCATGTCCAGTTCATAGACATGCAGTCCATAACGAGTTTCTTTGATGCTCATCTTCCTCTCTGAAGTAATTGGTGTTGCCAGGAGTAGTTGTGTGTCTTTGCCATGATAAACGCTAAACCATTTTAAATGCCATATTCTGTAGGTCTTTGAAAGGTTTGAAGAATGCCTATCCATTTGAAATATATCTCTATATATCTAGAAAACCTAACTATAAGTTTTGACTATTATAGGTAACTATCTATAATCTGTACTTAATTATACATCACATTTTAAATGAGCTATATAAGTACAATACCTAAACAAGAGAAGAAATATACATATCACAAAATTGACCTTAAATTTGTATATTGGAATGGTCCAATATAAAGTATTCATTTCTGTATCTCCCCAACTGTCTGGTCCAAGGAATACTGAGGCCAAATTTGATTTAAAAGTGGCCAGTGGGTCTCCAAAAGACTTCCCAATGGGAGCGAGGTGGTGTATGACACAGCTCCCAAGGATGAGGCAGAGGAGGATTGGGTGGGCACGAGTGAGGCAGAGCAAAGATCGGAAGGCCTGACTAGGCTGGCGTCCTGGGATCCAGGGAGGATCAGATTGAGTGGGCACAAGCGCTTCCAGCCCAAGGGCTTCGGTCCAGGAGAGACACAGTTGCCTGTCGCACCTGGGAAGGAGTCTTGCCTTACAACAGGGCTCACATGAGAGGTTTGTTGGAAGAAGGAGAAGGGGCAGAGAAGGGGAGCAGAGACCAGACCCTGGGGACAATAGGAGTGGGAGAGAGAGGGGGGTGGAGAGAGACAGAAGGTAGGTAAGGCCTGTCTTTTATAGTGAATGTGCACCAAGTGGTGCTCTTAGTGGCTGCAGCTGGGGACATATCCTGTCAGAATCTCAAGGGCAGGCCAGTACAGATGCCTGAATACTAACAGGCACATCATCATAATATTTCAGAGGAAAACCAGAAAAATTTGTAAAGCATCTAAATAAAAATAATATTCACAGGAGAAAATGTATAACTGACAGAAAGGAGAGAACGCTGGAAAATGACACCCTTAAGGGAGAAGAATAGTATCTACTAATTTTGGAGTGCAACTTAGTGAAAATGTTCTCCAAATACAAGGTTGAAATAAAACGTAGATATTTCATCACTCACCACTGGGCACTAAAAACATTAAGGGCATTCCTGAGGCAATACGTAAACACATGAATCCCAGCTGAGTATGGTATTGCATGCATATAGTCAAAGGTATTAGAAAACTGAGGCAGGAGGTTTGGGAGTTTGAGAACTTAGCAAACCCTGTCACAATATTAGAGAGAGAGAAAGAGAGAGGGGGGAGGGGAGGGGAAGGAAGGTGTGTGTTGGGGGGGAGTGTGGGTCAGTGGAGAGGGAAGTGAGAAAAGTAGGGAAGGAAGAAAGAAGAGTGGGGGGGGGAGATGGTCCCAGGTAGAAGCAATCTATACAAGAACAGGAGAAGCAGGAAGCAAATGGATCGAAATAAACTGACTTAAAAATCTACTTTATGTTCTGTGACCATAGTGGCAGTGCTGAAATCCACAGACACCACATGGTGGTAGGACTATTTCCCACAGCTTAGTGGCTGAGCCGTAGGGAGACTCAGGCAGGCCTATGTTGGGACTACACAGCTCCCAAAGGTTGACTTATTTTGTTTGTTTTGTTTTTGGAAACAGGGTTTCTCTGTGTAGCCCTGGCTGTTCTGGAACTCTCTCTGTAGACCAGGCTGGCCTCAAACTCACAGAATTAAAGGTGTGTGCTGCCACAGCCTGCTCAGCAAGGTTGGCTTTTTAAGGATTCACTTGTGACAGCTTTGCTGAGATGTCCATAGAGAATGGTAGTCAGGTTTACTAATAGAAAATCTTCCTTTTCTTCTACTCACTCAGGTTCAGACTTTTATCAGTCTGGGGTTTTCTTGGTCCTTTACTTTTCCACCGTCTCTCATAGGCATTTTTCCTAAAATGTTTTTTATGTGGTGGTTTTTACATGGTGGTTCCTGAATCACAGCACCCTGGAAGCTGAGGAAGTTCTGGATGGTTGTGAGTCACCGTGTGGGTGCTGGCAACTACACCTGAGTCCTCTGCAAGAGCAATGGGTGCTCTTAACCTCTGAGCCATCTCTCCAGCCCCGAAATAGGTCCTCCCACTGACTTTGTCTTGTTAAACAGCCAGCCAGTATCTGCTCTGGGCTAGAGTAGACGTGGTGACACAGTAGCTCTCATGGCTGATTTGATGTGTGAATTTGTAGCTGATGTGAACATACTCCACCACCCCCATTTTGGTGCTGGAGAATCAATACCAGTGTGTATTGTCTTATTAATAGAGAAAAAAGGTTTAAGTTTGTAAAATATGTGATTATTTGGTGTTTTACAATCATTTCCCCAGGAGACATAACTTTTGAGACAATGATGGAAATTCTTCGAGATGAACCAAGCGGCATCAATATGAAGGGAGAATTCCTGACCACCTCGAGCATGGTTTCGGTTTTACCTCAAGATTCCAGCCTTCCTTGCATTCACTTCTTTACAGGGACTCCACATCCGGAGAGGTGAAGTCCCCAAATACTGTAAACCTGCAAGAGGCCATGGGGCGGGGGACAGTCATCAGTGTGTAGATGAGTTAGTCATATAATGTGTTTAAGCAATTACTTCTTTTTAAAGTTTTGTTATTTTAAAGTGTGTGAGAGAGAGAAATGAATGTGGCTGTAGAGACCAGAGGCATCGCGTCCCCTGGAGCTGGATTTGTGGGTGCTGGGATTGAACACATCTTCTGCAAGAGCACTACTGCGGTGTCCTCCCTTGGGGCCACAGCTTTTAATGCATTGTCTGTTTGGGTTTTAGTTTGCACTTCCTCTCTGTGTATAGTGGCTCTCATTTTTATGAGAAGAAAAGGTTAATGGGTTGGGTTGGGTTCTTGTATGCAGTTATCCTGACTCCTTTTCCCACAGGCATTGCTAGCATTGTTAAGACAGTGGGTCCCTTTTCTCACTGATTTCCAATTTACAATATAACAGCCTAAGCCATCTTATACCAGATACACTTATGCACCCTATTTAGAAAATACATACATGTACAATATAAAATGTTATCAATTAAAGTTATGTGTCCTTAGGACTTTCATAACATATCTTCAGTTAAGTTAGTATCTCTTATAAAACTTAATGTATGTTACATTACCAACAATTTTATAATTACTTCTCCATTGTTAAAGCTTTTCATATTGATATCTTTTAGCAGTTAGGACGAAACCCATGCCTCATTAAGTCTAGTGCTGATTTTTTACTTTAAGCCATAACCAGCATCTGTGACACTTAGGATTGCTGTCACCCTGGGAAAATAACAAACTTTTACTTTTCTAATATTTTTAGTGTCCCAGGCCATCTGGTAGGCCTTTGGGAATACAGGGCTAAATAAAACATTGTCTTTTTGTCTAAATATACAAGGGAGATGAGCTTCAGAATAACTAATGTGGCAGGCGTATTTGGTTATGTTTTTTTTCCTCTTTGCTCTTGGGGGCCTGCCACCCAGCTCCAAATAAATACACAGAGACTTATTCTTACTTATGAATGCCCAGCTTTGGCTTGTTTTTAGCCAGCCTCTCTCTCTCTCTCTCTCTCTCTCTCTCTCTCTCTCTCTCTCTCTCAAAGAAATTTATATGTTTACAGTGTTCTGTCTGCATGTATGCCTGCATACCAGAAGACGGCACCAGATCTCACTACAAATGGTTGTGAGCCACCATGTGGTTGCTGAGATTTGAACTCAGGACCTCTGGAAGAGCAACCAGTACTCTTAACCTCTGAGCCATCTCTCCAGCCTCTAGCCAGCTTTTCTTAAATTATCCTGTCTACCTATTTCCTCTGGGCTTTTACCTTTCTCTATTCTGTAGCCTTTTCTTTCTTTGTTTCTCTTGAGCCTAGATTTCCCCTCCAATTTATTCTCTCTGCCTGGCAGCCCCGCTGTTCCCTCTCCTGCCTAGCTATTAGCCATCTGGCTCATTATTAGAACAATCAGATGTTTTAAACAGGCAAAGTAACAGTTTCATAGAGCTAAACAACATAAAAGAATGCAACACATCTTTGTACCATTAAACAAATATAATATATCTTAAAATAATATCCCACAACAGTCAGGAACTAATTACAGTATATGCATTATTATTAGAAACCTCAATTAGAAGGGATCTAGGAAGATACAATAATAATTTTTTATATCTTGACATGCAAATTCAATAAAGACCTTTTCTTCTAGGTCTGTTTTTAAGCCTTTCATATTTGTACCACACATTTCACAACTGTTGGATACGAAATCACCAACATTTGACCTTGAAAGGCCTATGGCAAAGAAGCCTTATGTCAAGCCTGACAGAAGACACCCACTGTACCAGAAACACCAACAGGCCTGGGAAGTGATAAGTAACACTAAGGTATGGTTATGTTATATTCTTTGTTGTGACATTAAGAAAGCTTTAAGGTGTAATTCAGTTTTGAATTTTGGAGTATTAGCCTTCTTTACTTCCTTCATGTAAAATATAGCATTAGAAATAGTCACCAGGGCCATGGTGGTGCGCACCTATAATCTCAGCACTGGTTAGGCAGAGGCAGGAGGATCTCTGAGTTCGAGATCAGCCTGGTCTACAGAGCTAGTTCCAGGACAGCTAAGACTGTTACACAAAGAAACCCTGTCTCAAACCCCCCCCCCAAAAAAAAGAAGAAGAAGAAAGAAAAGAAAAAGAAAAAAGGGAGAAAGAAAGAAAGAGAGAAAAGAAAAAAATGTTGTAGGCCAGGCAGTGGTATTATATACCTTTAATCCCAGCACTCAGGAAGTAGAGGCAGACAGATCTCTGAATTCAAGGCCAGCCTGGTCTACAGAGTGAGTTCCAGGACAGTCAGGGCTACACAGAGAGACCCTTTGTCAAAAAACCAACAAAGAGAGTATATATATATTATGACTTTTAGAAAATATATATATATATATATTCGTTTAGAAAAATTTAGAATTTTGAACACAGTAGCAACAGCTAACAGTTACAGAACACATATTATATGTGCTTTATATGTATTATTTAATCTTTACAACCACCAAACGAGGAAGGTATTATTATTATTATTATTATTCTGATAAAGATTCTGAGACTCAGGTAAGTCCCACAATTTGTTCAGTACATATTGTCTGAGGGGGCAGTTAATCTGGTCTTTTATATAATGTTCTGAATCCTGCAGCCCCACATTAGAATTGAAAGTGACTTCAGGTGCTGTCGTCAGTGAGAGAGTGCTTGCCTGGCATGTGTAAGTCCCCAGATCCAATATCTAGCACTGTCAAAAAAACAAAATACAGCTAGAAAAAGTGATTAAGATTTTGCAGACATAAAATAATGAGCTAGGTTTTTTATTTCAGTTTTGGTTTATTGTTTTGTTTGGAGATGTTGTCTAGCCTGGAATTTGCAGTGTAGACCAGGCTGGCCTTGAACTCACAGGGATCCACCTGCCTCTGCCTCCTGAGTGCTGGGATTTAAAGTGTATGCTGTCATGCCCAGCTAGTATTTTGTTGTTGTTTTAGTTTAGTTTTTTTATTACAAGAATGATAGATGCTCATTGTTTTATTTATTTGTTTGTTTAATTTTTGAGGTTTTTGAGACATGGTTTCTTTGTAGCTTTGGAGGCTGTCCTGGAACTTGCTCTGTAGACCAGGCTGGCACTTTGTCCCAAAATTGTTCAGAAGTTTTCAATAGATCCTCTAGATCCAAATTGATGACTTTTGAATTATTTAAAAAATCATTCCTTTTTAGGTTGGAAATGAGAGGTAGAGTGTTTGTCCTGCATGTACAAGGTCCTGAGTTCAGTCTTCAGGATAGGAAAAGTGCTGCTTTCTCTAAGAGTCATGGACACCAGGAGAAATACCTTTTCATTGCTTTTCCTCTTGAACATTGCCGTTTCTTTCCCTTGGTGTGAAGGAATTTATTAGCATTTATTTATCTGCTATCCTTGGGGTTGAACCCAAGTCCTCAAGCATGCTAGGCAAACATTCTGCCACTGAGGCTAACCTTCAGGCCCATTTCCTTAATCAGATCAAATTGGCTTTAAATACAGAAGCTCTAAATCCACAAAAATGTCCTGGTCTTGATTTTCAGTACACTTTGTCATATACAATTAAAGCAAATTTCCATTTGCCTTGTTCTGAATTTCCTATTTAGTAATACTGTGTGGCCCTTCTTGTTTATTAATACTGTGTGCTTGTTCTTATGTTTTCAACTAAAAATAACTAATTTTGGTATTTGTGCATTAATTGAATCTAGAGCAATGATTTTTCCCAAAGAAAACCATTCTTTTTTTTTTTCATTCCTTTTGCATCTACAGAATAGGAAAATAACCAAACCAGTAGAAGCCAGAATAAATAAACCTTGCTATTGGATTAGAATTTTGTTAGATTCATGTATGTGCATTTAGTTTTATTATTTTAATTAGGAAAAAAGAAAAACAACGTTAGACAACATGAGGAAGTTGGAAAAAGAAATGTTTGAAGAGATGGAATCAGTCCTCCAAAACAAACATCTTGACGTGGATAAAACTGTTAATCTCTTTACTCAATGTGTAAAAGATGAAATTAAAATTTATCAGTCAAATATTAGTTCTTAATAATATGTTAAGTAGTCAAAAATCTTCCTTACTGCCCTGGTACATGATACAAAACTACTTTCAGGAGATCTGAGTTTTCCTTCATAATATTAAGTGATATTTTGACCGTTAAAACCTCTGTAATTAGTATTCAGTTGCATAAAGCACAAAACATAAACATGATGCATGGGCTATGCTTAACGTATTCTGTAGTGCCCGTAAGTCATTCTCTCAGTTAAAGGCACACTCCTTTAACCCCAGCACTCGGGAGGCAGAGGCAGGTGGATCTCTGTGAGTTCAAGACCAGTCTGGTCTACAAGAGCTAGTTCCAATACAGCCTCCAAAGCCACAGAGAAACCCTGTCTCGGGAAACCTGTCTTGGAAAGAAAAAGAAAAAGAAAGCTTCAAGCTTTTTTTTTTCTTTTTCCAATGCAAAGTGAGTTTTTGTGCTTTAGGCAAAAGGTGATTACCGTAGGAAAATATTAAGTCTAAGGCCTCAGCCCCTGAGAACTGTTAGTCCTCTTGTTCTCTGAGTAGTTTTCCTTTTCTCAGAGTGCTGTGCAGTTGGACTCTTACAGTTGGTAGTCTTTTCAGATTGACTTTTTCAACACACAGCTTTCACCATGCCTCTGCCTGGATAGCTCATTTCTTCTTAGCATGGAATCATGCCTTTCTGTGGGGTGTATCACTACTAAAGCACATCTTGGTTGCTTCCAAACTCTGGCAATTGTGTGTAAATATCCATGTGCAAGTTGTTGTGTAGTTCTAAGTGTTCAACCCATTTTAGATAAAAACCAAGGTAACTGCAGGTCCTCTGGTGTGAATGAGAAACTGCCAAGCTGTCTTCCAGAAGTTGCCATTTCCACCCCTCCAGCCCATTGTTCTGTCCTGGCCAATTGTCAGTGTTTTGGAATTTGGTCATTCTAATGAACCTCTGACCTTGCAGTTTCTCAGTTTAATTTGTAATCCCAAATAGCATATGATACTGAGCTTCATTTTGAATGCTTATTTTCATGTGTAAACCTTCTTTGATGAGGTGTCTAGATCTTGCCCCATTCTATAATCAGGTGTTTATTATTATTTATTTATTTATTTTAGAAGGGAGTCTCCTTTTTTTTAGTTTTTTAAAATTCTATTTTATGAATGGTTTGCTCCATGTATGTCTGTGTACCACACACACGCCTGGTGCCCTCAGAGGGTATGGGATCCTCTGCAACTGGAGTTTCAGATGGCTGTGAGCCACCCTGCCTGTGGGTGCTGGGGACCAAACCTAGATCCTCTGTAAGAAAAACAAGCAACTCTTTCTTAACCATGAGCCATCTCCCTGGCCCCTCCCACCCAAGTCTAAAACTCTTAAAGCTCATTGTTCTTAGGGTAAAGCCACAGTCCTTACCAAATGCCATGGAGAGACACTGTTGACTTTCTCTGCCCTTTTTATGTGTTAGTACACATTTGCTGTTGATTTTTGTTTCAGCAATGGTGGTCTTTCAAGTCCTTAAATGTACCCAGTGTGCATTGCTTCCTCATGGCTGTACCCTCTCCTGGGACCTCTTCTGTGGAAGTGGTTCTTTTCGCCCGTGGGCTCCCTAACAAATGAGTTTCTCAGGCATTTTCCTTCCATATAATCAGGATTATATGTGACTCCCAATTAATCATACATTTAATTATTTCACAGTGGAACAGAGGTTCCATGAAGGCCCATTGTTCAATATTATATCTGGATGCTTTACTATTAGATAATATTTGTTGGAGGAACATCCAAATACTGGTGAAAAGAACTTATACAGACCCTTCTACAGAAATGTAAAGTTAAATAAATTAGCTAGGTAATTTATCTGTATAACTTGGTAGTCTCATAAATTTGAACCCTAGAAAGATTTAAGGTTTATAAGGATATGTGAGTCAATTTGTAGAGATTTTCACTATATATATACAACAGGATATTTGAGATATGAATACTCATCTTGGTAATTAATGCCTTGGGATGTATTTTAGAAATTTTAGTGTTGTAAAAGTAAAAAATAATAAACTTAGTTGTTTTACACAAAATTGGCTTGATTGATCTTTGAAAATATAAGTTTATATATTAATCTCCAATACATTTCCTTAAAAATAATTATACAAGGTGAAATTTTAGAAAGTTTCTTTTTGTAAAACAGTTTGGTTTTGTAGAAGTATTGTTTGTTTGTTTGTTTGAGACAGGTTTTCTCTGTGTAGCCTAGCTGTCCAGAAACTCATTCTCTGACAAGGCTGGCCTCAAACTCAAGAGATTCACCTATGTCTGCCTCCTGAGTTCTGGGATTAAAGGTGTGAACCACCACTGCCTGGCTAATTCCAAACAGAATTTTACAAAATACTTTTACAATACTGGCACACACCTTTAATCCCAGCACTCAGGAGGCAGGCAGATCTGTGAGTTTGAGGCCAGCCTGGTCTACAGAGCAAGTTCCAGGACAGCCAGGACTGCACAGAGAGACCTGTCTTGAAAAACAACAAAAATTAATTGCTTCAGGTTTTCATCAAATGACTGCAGAGATGTAAAGGCCATCTTTTCCTGAAGAACACTTTACAGTTTGAGACTACACTTCCATTGTCACTTATGCCCAGTCTTCAAATGGTATTTCTAAAGCATGTTTACTGACAGCCTGCTTGCTCCAAACTGCAGTACCAGAAACTCACCCGAGAAAGCACTGAGAATTTACAGACAAGACTTGTGTGGTATGGTCACCATTATTTGGATTATTCAAGGAAAAGCCGTTGACAATACAAGTTAAAATAAGTATTTATTGAGAAACGTGCTGTCAGTGAGAAAGTAATATACAAATATTTTCATTTAATAAAATTAACTTATCATTAATCCTAGAAACACCCCTTTAAAGGCCTTTATCATCTGAAACTGCAAATCACTCTGATCTATGGCTTTCTTTTAGAATCTCCCATGGAAAATAATGTCTCGGATTCCACTTGTGAAAATAAAAGAACATACTTAACGGCTTACCCACAAACGCTTCCTGCACTTGAATCTGAGCTGCTTGCATGCGTGTAAATTCTGTCCTGTGTCACCAGTGGTGCTAGAGCAAGTGTCCTGTGTACTCCTGGGCATTGGGAGTCACAGTGTGGGTGTGTCTTGTGTCCCCCTAAGTTTTATACTGAATTTTTCTGCCTACAACATCCAATTCCATGATCATAACATGATTGTCATTTCTTTTTAAATACACTAGGCTTCCATGCAAGTTTTTTTGTTTTGTTTTGTTTTGTTTTTTTGTTTTTCAAGACAGAGTTTCTCTGTAAGGCGTGCACCACCGGCTAAGTTTTTGTTTTTTATGTATTTGCTACATTAAAAGGGTCAGGGCCCCTTTTATTAACCCCATAAATAATGGGCCCTTGCCTCCCACCCTATGCGGCAACATCAGTGAACCTGACCCTGGCCCCAGCTGCTCACTGCGGGCTTGATCTTACACTACCCAGCCTCCAGACCAGCAAGAAAGACCTGATGCTTTCGAGCTAGCTGTCTAGTTCATGTCAGTTTTAGAAAGGGTCTTAGTGGACTGAGCAACAATTGGTACTTTTTAAACTTACAGATTTTTAGACATGCACACATTAAAGATTGAATTGTAAAGGTAGGATTGCTAGGTTTCTAATTTTAAATTTCTGACTATATACTTTTTCAAGGCAGGGAATAAAATAGGTTTTTTCTACAACATGATACTTTGAAAGTACCAGAAATAGTACATCTCATAGCAATACTTTTGATAACATTTAAATAAATATGCTCAAACTACTTAAAATTTTAACTGCAAAGATTATAGAGATAATCATGTTCTTATTGGCACACATTAGTACTTTAGATAGAAATCAAGAAAAGATAAAGCTTTAAAATTGATATTTTATCAAAAATAAATTTAAAACTTACTTTTAAAAAACAGTGGGGTTAGCCAGGCATGGTGGCACACACAAATAGGCCCTGAACTCAGGAGGCAGAGGCAGGAAGATCAGTTCAAAAGCTTCCTTGGCTACATAGGGAATTTGAGGTCAGCCTGGCTACATGAGACCTTATCTCAGAAACAAAACAGTAGTTTTAATTTTTAAATGGTAGTATTTGTCAAAGAAGTGGAGGGAGAAATAAAAGTTTTTACTAGAACAATAAAAGTCTGTTTGGGGAAGTGTGATCGCTAAGGTTCATTTTTAGAGCAGCAATCCTGCCAAATGCGGCAATTTAAAAATACCAGCCAGTTGAATATAACATTGAAATTATAATGAACAGTTGCTGAAAGAAATGATTTTAAAATATTGGTATAGTCGAAGCACCTATAGCATTATTGTTTAGGTCCAGGCTTCTCTTGTCAGTTTCCTATGTGCTTTCCATTCACGTAAGGTCACAGGATGTCAGTACGGGTAGGAATGCATTTGCCACTTACAGGAGAGATGACAGAGGCTCAGAAAGGTAGCCTGCCCAAGCGAGGACCCACAGCTAGGAGTGCCAGATGTGAGGCTAGAGTGTAGGAGTACACGCGGGGTTCTTCGTAATTTAAGTCTTAGGGGACAGTGAGGATGGCGATGAGTGGCCAGTTTCTTTGTAACCTTCCTGTTGAGGGTTGCTTACAGTAACAGGAGGAGGACTCTGTTCAGGGCTCTTCTGAAGGAATCTGTAAAACAGATACTCGTCCCGAAATTCATATTCATTGGTGATGTGTTGGATGACTCCCCCCTGCACCAGTCTGTCCCCATAGATCACAGCTTCACCACGGTCAGAGGCAAGGCCGACTTCTATTAGCCAGTTCACCAGGTCACAGCCACAGAAAGTCCCGGCGGAAGTCTTTGCACCGCACCTGTGTGTCAAAGGAATGATTCAGCCATATGTTCTGTAATTCTGGTGTCAGCGCTGCATGACAGAGGATGAGCAAAGAAAAATAGAAAGGAAATGAGGAAAGACAGAATGACAGTTAAGAGCACGACAGAAATGGAACTGTGTTACCTTTCCTGACCCTAGAGAGACGGGTGAAAAATAAAACATGCCAGTAATGATCATGAAAACAAACACTTTTTAAAAACGACACAGATAAGTGTATTGCCTGAGAAAAAGTTCTTTCTGGAAGGAAGCACAGGTGTGTATGTGTGTGGCATGTGTCCCTGTGCTTATGCATATTTGAATGTATTGTGTATGAGGTACATGTATGTACACATACATGTAGAAGCCTGAAGTTGACAATGGGTGACTTTGATTCCTCCTCACTTTATGTATTTAAGCAGGGTCTCTTACTGAACCCGGACGTCACCCATTCCAGCTAGTCTAGCTTGCCAGATGGCCCCCAGACAGATCCCCTGCCTGTGTCTACCTGCTGCTGGGATTACATGCAGGCCACCACACCTGCCCAGCTTCTATGTGGATCCTGGGGATCCCAAATCCAGTCCTCATGCTCGTGAGGCCAAAAGAGGGCATGAGATTGCCCGGAACTGGAGTTAACAGATGGTTGCAGCTGCCATGTGCCTACTGGGAATCAAACCCAGGTCCTCTGGAAGAGCCCCTCCCAAAGAAGTATCTTTAATAGCAGCATGGGCTGTGTGTATGTGTGTTATATGCACTTGCATGCACTTGTATTTGGAAGTCTGAGGTCAATGTTTGTGTCTTTCCTCAATTGCTCTCCACCGTGATTGGGGCAGAGTCTCACTGAGCCTAAAGCTCATGGATTTGGCTGCTTTCTCTCCCCAGTAGGCCTGAGGTGACAGGCACATGGCTCTAGTCCAACTTTCAGTCGGGTTTTAAAGACCAGCCCTGGTTTTTATGCTTATGTAACAGGTACTTTACTATCTTACAGATGACTGGTTATCACTGACTGTTATAGTTGTGTTTGTGATGCATGGCTGTAACCGACCACCTGAGAGGTTGAGGCAACAGAATTGGGTTTGAGCATAGGTTACATGATGTGATTCTATCTCAAAGAACAAAAGTCGTTCTATGGTTTTATTAACCTGCTGAAACCAAACTTCATGTTCAGCTTCCAGTACCCACAAACACTCTTTCCGTCAGCAGTCAGCACACTCATTTGCTTTATTAGGAATCGGAGCAAACGAGTGAAATCTGTCCTACAGCAAACTCAAAACCTCAAGAGTATGCTTTGGGGCTGGAGAGATGGCTCACTGGTTAGGGGTACTCAGTGTTCTTCCAGAGGACCTCAGTTCAGTTCCCAGCATCTACGTCAGCAGCTCAGAACTGCCTGTAGCTCCAGCTGCAGGGGATGTGACACCCTCTTCTGATCTCCAAAGACATGCACACAGACACATGCACATTCATCAGATAAAAAACAAAACAAAACAATCTTCTCCGGGAGGCGCGCTTTGATTTTGATTTGCTTCGGGTTGTTTAATATTTGTCTTCCTAATGCGAATTTGGATTGCTTAAGCATGAGCAGATAAAGAGAAAGAAATGCAGAACAAGAGAACCAATTGCATGAATTATGAACATTTTCCTACAAATGTGCACGAGCCAGCAGGAACCTCTGCAAGCGTCAATCAAGCTGTGAGATCTACAGTGCTCGACAGCAGGAAACGGAGGGTGAAGAGCAAGATGAAATGACAAACAGGTGTCAGAAACTTAGAGCATTTTATCACAAATACAAAGTTCCACATCTAAGAATTAGAAAAAATTCTATTAGATAAAATATCCATGTTCGAGTCAGTGTCTGGGTCTTTTTAATGTAGAGGTGATACCTTCTGTCCCAGTCAGTAACTGAAGATATTTGTTTCTTGATTGCTGTGATCTGGCAGCTGTCTTAAGAGCCTATGTAATAGTACAGAGTGTCAGAGAATGTGACAGGGGACAGGCTGCCGATCCTGGAAAGGAGCAGGAATCAGCTGGTTTATACCAGCTGGTGCCCATTCAGCCATCTGGGACCTGGTAGCTCAGCAAATGCTAAGAATTCTGCTTCCTGACAGTTGGCAAGCACGCTGTGAATTTTCTTAAAAGAAAAGTTTAAAGCGATGTTAAACGGTTCAAACTATCCATAGGCAGTGTCCTGAAATTGTGCTCAACCTTTCAAGGCAGAAAAGTCACTTTTCTCCAGAGTTTATCATTGTCAGTATTTGGGCAAGGCTCATCATAGACATCTGCCTATCAAAGTAAGATTTTCCTCTGTGGTTTACTTATTATTGCTTTATGTGTGTAAGTGTTTTGCCTGCATGTATGTATGTGCACCGTGTGCATGCCTGGTGCCCAAGGAGGCCAGAAGAGGGAGTTGGATCCCCTGAAACTACAGTTACAGAAGTTTGCGAGCCACTGTGTGGGTGCTGAAAACCGAGAAGCTGGATCTCTGCAAGACAAGAGCTTTCGATTGCTGAGCCATCTCTCCAGGCCCCGGGGAGGTTTGTTTGTTTGTTTTTTTCTAAAGAAAAGGAAATCTCAGGTTTTAAGAATTGAACTTGCCAAGAAGTGCTGTCTGGGGAGTTCTTTTTTTTGTTTGTTTGTTTTTGTTTTTCCACTCAGGAGTCTCTTCCCACTTCCTCTACCAGGCTGTATTGTTCTGGTTGTAAGGGCATGCATGTTGAGTATAGTGGGACAGTGCTTAGAAATGAGCCACCTGGAATAGTAGTCTCCAAATCTTTAGAAATACACATAAAAGTATTAGGTTCTTTATTTTTAAAAAGGATTTATTTATTTGTTTATTTATTTATATTATTATTATGTATACAGTGTTCTGCCTGCATGTGTGACTGCAGGTCAGAAGAGGACATCAGATCTCATCACGGTTGTGAGCCACCATGTGGTTGCTGGGAATTGAACTCAGGACCCTTGGAAGAGCAGGCAGTGCTCTTAACCTCTGAGCCATCCCTCCAGCCCCGGTTCTTTCTTTCTTTCTTTTTGCTTTGTTTAATTTCCTCTTTCTTGACAACTAAAACTATGGGCACTGTAATATCTGATTATTCATAGTTCATCGTTTCCTGCTGCAGCATATTCTGTACCTTGGGGATTAGAAGAATAAATATGATGTCACAAAAATAATGACTAGGACTTGAGGTGAAATAAATATCATAGGATTAATTAAGAGGTAGAAATTTCATCTCATTCTCTTGACAGCATCGCTAGTAATATGAATGACATAGCACTAGGGATGAGAACATAAAACCCGTGCTGAATCTACTGGTTTTCAGTGCTCTGTGACAGACACTAATGGCCAACATGAAGAGTGTTAAAACCCTGTCACACTGGATCCTTTTACAGCTCACATTTTATATAGAAACCAGGAGCTAACTGATATCAAAGGTAAAAATCAAAGTGATATGTTATTTTTATATCTTATTTCCTAAACTATAAACTTACCCACAGCTATCAGTTTGTTAAAACCTAATCTTAGTAACCTGCAATCTGTGTTTCTGAATGCTGTGCCAGCTTTACCTTCTTTCTCTGACGATGTTTCGGATGCAGAGGTCACGGTGGTAATGTACAAACTGTTGACAGGTCATTTTTATCTCCTCAGAGACAGGGGACTCTCTGTTTTCTGCCGTCTCCTTATTGTTCCACAGGAATTCAAGCCTGAAAACCAAAATTTAAGCGGGCTGTTTCTTAAGGAAAGAAAACAAGTATGAGAAGATCCAACCTGCCTCACCAAGTAGCTATTTCAAATCCACTCACCAAAGCTGTCACCAACACCCGGATGTCATTAGTCTCCAAACCAGAAACATCCCTGTTCTTCTACACATGCTCTGTGAGCAGATCAGGGTGTGGCTGACCATTTTATACACTCTCTAGACATGCTTGACCCACTTCAGTTTCTACTAAGGTATTTCTTCTGTGTTTGACCTTTTTGAAACACAGACATAACTTACAAACTCAGCCGGATGCCTCAGACTGCCTCAGAAACCAAAACCAAACCAAAACCAACCAAGGTAACTACGTAAGCATTTTATTCACCATTTCCACCATTAGTAGCACAGAAACAAATGCCAGAATCTGGAGTATAAGGCAGCCCGTTTTGTCTATCCAGGCAAATATAACAATTGAGTTGGCCAACATTATGAAGCTGGCAACTAAGTTGAGTGGCTTTTCTATTATATTTTTCTTTTAGAAATGATGATGACCCTTAGCAATGACATCTTAGTGAAGATAAAGAATGTGATAATGGCGGAGAAGGGACAGACACTATTAATTGGCACTCCTTATAGAGTAGGTAGCTTGAATTCTATCAGCATTTCTAGTGTCTATGAATTTTCCCTTGAGAGAAAATGAACAAACATTTTCCCCTGTTTCTCTTTCCACCCCTGTGTTGAAACTTTTACCTTGTTATTTTTCACAAAGAAACCATGATCTTAATTAAAAGAAACCTTCTTGGAAGCCAGTAAAACCCCAAAGTTGAGAGAACCCTTGAATTTTCCGTAAACTCTTAGTTTTATAGAAAGAGAAAGCCTATTGTCAAAGGAGAAAAACAGTCAGATGCAGACTATGATGGGGGAACACGCCACCTACTACTGCCATTTCCAAGTTTCATTTAACTGTAGTTAATAGCATAGACAGAAGTCAGTGCCCATCAATTCTTGTTAAAATGCAAATTGCATTGCTGGATTTATAATACTTCTAATACTTTCTCTGCAATTATTTGCAACAAATCCGTGATTCCACAGATAACCTTTGTGTGGTATTTATGGTCTCCTAACAGATATAAAAGTATAAAGGTATCAATATTTTAATAGAATGGCCTTGTCATCGCCCTTAGGTACATAGGCTTATTTCAAAACTGAATTTACCTTCTTTTGAAAGGTAGGATGATTAAATGTTTGTCCAAGCCGAAGATTCCAAAGGAAATAAATCCCTAGGGGAGAAAACAGTTATTCTGTCTGAATTTAACAGTAAAACCTTAAGACAGAAATGAAGACATTGATAGCAGAGGAAGCAGCTGACAGTGGGCAGAGCAACGTCTTAAACTCAGCATACGAAGCAGACTTAAAGGTCAGTGCCTGCAGGCACACATGGCACCCCGCCCGCCCGCTCCTTGCCTCTTCCCAGTCACTCTGTCCTAGTGACGATGATGGGTGCTAAAAGCCAGTGCTGAAGAACCGCATTTGCACACCAGCTCCCTAAAGGAGAACCACAGTCATTTAAAGCCTACATTTTTTGTTCCCCCTTTTTGAAAAGGAAATCTCTGTGGGCGTGTGTGTGTCTAAGTACTTACTATTTTTCTGTTGAAACTTCATAAATATAATTAAGAAGGGCTGTGATATCTAATTGTAATACAGTTAGCACTATGTCGTAGATATGAAAGATCCCTCAAAGACTTACGTATTGCGAGCATGGTCCTTCATGCACTGATGTGTGAGGGTAGAGGGTGCACTTAGCAGTGGGGGGTACATAGCTGGCTCAGTTCTGAGTGGCTCAAAACTGCTTGGGACTCAGTGCCAGGGGATCCGACACCCTCTTCTGGCTCCCCAGGCAACTGGACTAATACGCACATACCCCATCTTCCCCAGACACACCATAAGACACACGCACACATAATTATACGTTTTTAAATACAAAATAGTACAAAGACTTGATCGTCCTAACTACAGATAGTCAGACGGGAACACCGCACCGCACCAAGTCCTTAAAAAGAAAATAGAATTGGAGTGAGATTGTGTCTTCTCAGGCCTTTGAGCCACTTGAGACATAAGCTGTGTAGGCAGCATTTGAAGTGTGACATTCCTGCCATGACAAAGCCCTGTGGAATGGAGCTTGCTTGGTTCCTGCCCTAGCATGGCTCAATCTGGAGTGGGCTCTCTGAATGTAAACTGCTAAGGGGGACTGTGAATTTTCAGCCTAGTATTCTATTCTTGGCTAATGTCAGATCCTAAATAGTTTCACAAAGTGAGACTAGTATCAGATGGCTCTGGGGTGCCCATGTGTGTCTGTAATGAACTAATTACATAATGTGTTTCTTTATACTTTGCTGGTTTTCTTCCAATAACAATATCAAAACAAACAGGAAACACTTTGAGTGGTTAGTGGAAGGCAAAAACATGTAGGAGCAGAAACTGACAAATTATAACGATCTTATATGGCAAAATATTTCAAATTTAATAAGCAGTGATATCCAACACAGTATTTTTTAAGTTAATAGTTTATGAATATCCTCTAATAAAAAAGTAAGGGTTCAAATTGGGGGTGTGGTTCAGTGTAGTTACATGTACTACATGTACTAGTATGCCTAGTATGCATAAGTGAAAATTTGATCCCCAGCACCTTAGAAAGGAAGGGATAATAAAAGCAGGTTGAAAAGATCAAATTTTGAACTTTGCATATAAAGTTATTTCCCAAAATTTAAAATGTTATTTTTCTTTAAATAGCTCCCTTTTGTCCCAAATGCTAGGAATTAAACCCAGAGCCTTCTAAGTGCCAGACATTAAATACCAATTTTAGTAGTAACAAGAGAGGGGGAATGATAGTATCTAATTTGTAGGTATTTTGGCATTTATATGAGATGATGAACATAAAATCCTTAACAAGAGTTGGTACATGGTAGACTTTTGAAGAAAGGTTACTACTGTTTCTGCTGAAATGTATTTATACAACACATGATTTTTACAATACCAACTTAAGTACCTGTCATTCAAAAACCATGTGATATTTAGTAGTGTTAAGTGGTCAAACTAAAGGTTCAGAAAAGCACGTGGTTATTTTCCAAAGTGAGCTGTGAAGATCATAAGGAGTTTAAGAAGGATTTGGGGACATCTTGTTCCTACTTAAATCATTATTCTTCATTTCAATGCTAAAGCAAAAAAAAAAAAAAGACTTTGGTATTTCTGGTTGAAACACTCAGCATACATTTTGATGACTTCAACCACTATAATAATTCATCTCTACAGGGAGACAGGCAGCAGCTGTCAGCTGCCGTGCGTACCAGCAGCTGATAAACAGACTGAACCCCTTTGATGTCCAAGAAAACAACGTCTGCACCTCACCACCCCGCAATCAACTCACTCAAGAAAACAGAGCCCTCTCAGCTCCCAGTAAATAAATACCTGGCCAAAGTTAAACACGGCACAGAAAAACTGCAGTTCCACATAGAGTCGTCCAGTCTCGTGGTTGAACAGCCACCACAAACAACTAGAGAGATTCTGTAAAGGGAAGAAAGAGGAGCTTAAAAATTAGACACGAGAATCGCTTCTCTCTACCCAGCGCACAGTGTGATGACTTCTCTAGCTAATAATTAGGGGGGAAAGACTGAAGGGGAAAAACACCGAGAGAATGTAGAAGCTTTGTCTTTCAAACAAGAGGTTTCAACCTCTCCTCTTGACAGATGCCATTCAAACAGTGTCTATTCTGATTAAATTTGAAGCAAGAAGACATGAGCCATAATACAGGAGCTTACATAATATATCAGGCCTGCTGACTAGCCTACACAGGATGAATTTTAAAATTAGTTTGACACAATAAAACAATTGTGTCACTAAGCAGCAGTTTTTGGCAGCAGTTCTTAGTTTTTGACTTTAGTTCTTAGATGGCCGTCAAGTGTTGCTGGCTAATATCATGCTACGTAATGAACGTCCAAGTGTGAAAAGGCTGCAGAGGCTTCTGGCCCATCTCCCATCTCTAGGGAGTCACACTTGAACCATTTTAAGGGATTATGTGTAACAACTGATAATTCACAGATGAGGATAACAAATAAAACCCCTTCTATAATTAAAGGAATGTACACAATAAAATAAAGCACTGTACTTATAGCATTGAAAATCCTTCAGTATTTTATGCTGGCATGAGGACATGCACTACCCCTTTGGAAAAGAATCAGTAGAACACATCTGTGTCATAGAAATGCTTCTAGATTTTGATGCAGGGTTATCAACTTCGAAGATCTACTAATAGGAAATACAAATGTCTGGAGGTGTTTATTAGGGCATTTTGAAAAATTGTGAACAATTCAAGAAGTACTTGAATAAATTATGATGTTGCTTTTTGTGGTTATTTGGAAGTAATTTAAAACAATGACTTTGAACACTTCAGTCAAGTAGCCTTGTTTGACACAGGTGAAAAAAGCAACACAGAAGTCTGACTGTTCTTTTACAATCATGCAGTGTGTGCTGAAAAATTAGTAGGCAGGGCTGAGGATAGAGGCCAGTAGTTAAGCTTGTGATTAACATTCATGAAGCCCTGGTCCAATCTCTAGCACACAAAAAAAAATAATAATGAAAAAGAAAAAATTAGAAGGCATTAGTGTGATGGATGTTTTTCTTGTTCTTTCTATAGTTTGAAGGTTTTCACAATTAAAAAATTTAAAGGTTTATGTGTATGTTTTCATATATGTGGTTTTTGTGCCACCAACGCACTTTTATTTTTAAAAGTTTATCTGAGAGCCTGGCTGTGGTGGCACACACCTTTAATCCCAGCACTCAGGAAGCAGAAGCAGGAGGATCTCTGTGAGTCCGAGACCAGCCTCGTCTACAAGAGTTAGTTCCAGGACAGCCCCCAAAGTCACAGAGAAACCCTGTCTTGAAAAACCAAAAGCAAACAAACCAAACAAATAAAAGTTTATCTGAAAATATCTTTAGAGAGATAATTTAGCTATTTGTCCACTGTCAGGAGTAAGTAGTCTTGCATATAGCATGGAAATACCTTGTTTTGACAAATTCCAGGTTCAAGAGTATAGAATGAATAAGTGATTGCACATACAACAGACCATTGGAGTGACTGGGCAACAGAATTAACGATTCACTCCTTGCTCCATCCCTGTGCCTCAAACACTTAATTAAATGTTAAAATTCAGATGACCTAGCCACCATACTTCTCTGAGAGAAGCCAATAATTAAAGACATAACCCCAACTCGAAGCAGAAGAAGGATTTACAGCAAACAGGCCAATGATGAGAAGTAGACACAGCAGGACATGTCGAGTCAGTTGGGGGTCTCCAGTCTGCAGGTACTGCTCTTCCTCCTGGGCTAGGATGCAGCTTTGGGAGTCACAACGACTCACACAGTGGTCCGCTAAAAAACAGTGAGCACAGCTGTAATTATTTCAAGCCCATGATGACATCCCAAGAGAAACAGCACAGCTAAGACTCAGGATCTGACTGTCAGTGACCCCAGAGAACACTCTCATGCTATATGGAGAGTCTCTTTGAAAATTGACAAGCCATATGTGGTAGTTCCATCTGCATACTTAACAGGGGTCTCTGTCAACAAAAACTATGCTATATAATTATGATACATAACCTAGACATATTTTATATAGCGTAAATATAATTTTAAAGATTGGATTAATAAAGTTTTATCTGTGACAAATCCACATGAGCCACAAATACCCTATTATGTCCTAGTTTGACAACCCATGAAACAAATGTACTATTATCTCTTGTATTTTATGAAAGAGCTCAATTAATTAGTCCTGGTCCTAGAGAATAAAGCTAGGGGGGGATACTCTCAGTTTTTAAAAGGAGAAAAAAGGCCAAAATTCGTTAGGTTTTCTGGAGTTCTCACTTCAATTAACCTTTATTTTTTGTTTTGAAAGTGCTGGGGATTGAACCTAGGGTCTCATGTTTGTTGGGCAAGTACTTACCGCCGTGAGTGAAGTTTATTGGGAAATCTATTTTAATACTACCTTTAATAGTTTTATTTTTAAGTGAGTGTCCTGTTTCTATGATTATCACTTTTCCCCACCTTATTGGAAACATATTCTCAAGCCACGTTTTACAGTGTATAGCTTCAACAGGAATTCTGTGCAGTATTCTTTTCGCATAGAAGGATAAAAAGGTTTCTTTTTTCCCCCTCACAGCCCCAGGGCACTTACTTTTCTCAAAGGAAGAAGGCATGGGCCCACTGGCACTTGTGTTTGTTACTGGCTCTACTGATGGACAGCATAGGTCACCATTTCCCAAGGAACAAGAACAGCAACCTAGACAGGGGAGACAGTATGTGAAGGCAGGCCCCACACAGAAATACACAAGTCCAGACGACATCAAGCCATGTCTGAGCCACTCATGTTGTCTCTAGGGAAACATTTTCTGTACGGGCACATATCTATCTAGGTGTGCCTATACAGCAGTGAGCAATTAAACAGTGCCAGACAAATGACCAGCCTCCTTACATTGTCCCCTCACTGTATGAGACAGGGAGAAATGTTTTTATCTAGGCTGCTTCCTCTACACTGTGTTTTGGAAACTAAGAATTCAGCCATTCCCTAAAACACAAGACTTTCATTCATCACTTTCCTAAATACAACTGCTCTGCTGATAACCAATGTCGGCCTTGAAAGCTGCCTGTGACTCGGACTCATGATCTTCCTGGACAAAAGGCACTCCTTTCTTTTTGGACAATTCTTTCCAGTCAGCTGGAAACCCCTTGTGGGCATGGTTGACAGAATACTCTGCCCGGATCATCTTATTAGTCACTTCTTTCGGCCTTTCTATCTCATGAGTCTGGAAGTTTCGGTAGAGGCAATGCTCTACTGTTTTCTTTGCAGGCACACACGGCTGAATCTCCAGTTGGTTGACAGGCAGGCTGGCCTGCACAAGTCACACTGAGATATGCCACACAGCTGTAATTTTCCTGTGTTTGTTTCTTTATTTATTTGTTTGCTTGTTTATATGTTTATTTCCTCAGATAAACACACACAGTGCCCTTAATTTTTTATAGTTATATAGGCCTGGTGCTTCCTGACATGGATTGCAATATTAATAGAACAATAACTTCAGTGATAAACTATTAAAATGTACATGCAAGAAAAATGAGGAATACTTAGGCTTAACCTCTCATTGATAACATACTTAAGTTCTTCTGTGATATTCTTAAAAAACAAAAGGATTTCAAAGCACAAAAGCTATTATCTATAAGTCATTACAAATGTCTTTTTAATTGTAAGATAATAATGCCACCTCAAGGTTAAAAACAGAACCACAGAATAACAGAAAAGAAAATAAATTACCTAGTCTAGCTCTTTTTAGAAATGTGAAGGTTTAAGTAATAAAATTACATAAAAAGATATAAAAATTAAGAAAACACATGAGAGCAACACATTTGCATGGCATACATACAGGAAATAAATACTGGCATGCACACAGACGTGTGCATAAATAAGCAATCATGGCCTCTGTAAAAAAAACTTTGCAGGATCGTCCCTCAAACATAAGGGCTTATCAGTAGCCATCAGCTTTCCCTTTAGTAGACAAACATTTTTTGTTGAACAAACTGGTTTTTTTTTTATCTATTCTTAAGATTTATTTTTTTAATATTTCTATATTTCTGTTTTATGTGCATGAGTGTTTTGTCTACAGGTATGTATGTGCACCAGGTGTGTGCCTGGTCTCCAGGGAGACGGAAGAGAGCATCTGACTCCCGGACCTGCACTGTGAGCCCTGGGCCCTGGGAATTGAACCCAGGCCGGCTGCAAGAGCAGCAGGTGTTCAGCCGCTGAGTCATCTCCCAGCCACACTAACTAAACTCTTGACCACATAACAAAATGCGACCCTAATTTCACACTATTTATAACACAGAAGTCATAGGTCTCTAACAAATGCACAACAAGACACAGAGACAGATGGACTATGTGCAATTGCCCAACTAGAGAAGAGGCCAAGATGGTCATCTGAGGTGTTACATGTTTACACTTCTACTAAAGCAGAAGAAAGCAGGATTTAGGCGGGAAAATAGCCAGACAGACTTTAAAACTTTTTTCCTTAGGAACATGGGTGAACAGGTAATTAAGTATTTCGTGATAGTGTCGGAGAATCATGGCACCCATCTAACTATAATATTACTAAGTATGTACAGTAAGCCTGATATCTCACTAGGAACTGAGGCTATAAGGACAAATCTGAGATGGTATTTACAGGATAGTGGGCCTGTAAACAAAAGCAGTTATAAAACAGTGTGACGAGGGAGGAGGCTGTGGATACAGCTCTAGGGGAGAGCTCTCCTCTAGCATTTATGAGGCCCTGGGTTCAATTCCAGGCCCACAAAAACTGCAATGAAATTAGGGTTATAAACAAGGAGACGAAAGCATAAACACTGCAGGTTTCCTGTGGACATGGCAAATAGCTGTCCCGTTTACAACATAGATTCAAATTCATTTTCTTGCTGGGGATGATAGCAGGGATTAAAGCCTCTAGTTTAGTTTTTTGCTGTTTCTAAAAGTCAGGTGAAAGTCAAATACAAAAGTCTCTCAAAGGTCTCTTACGCCCCTTGTTTAGTGCGTCCCAGAGATGTTGGCCTTCGGTAGCCATCTAAAAAATTCATGGAGGAAGACATGGCAGGCTGCCTGAAGGTGGGAGTCTTCTAGGTCCACCCCAGATCAGAAGGATTTAGAGTATAACTGCAAAGTGCAAAGAAGATGAGAAAGGAAGGAGGCTGGGCTGACCTGAGACGTATCCTGGGCTTACGGAAAGCAGAGTCTAACATTATAGGAAAGACGTTGTTGAGCTTCAGGGTTTTTTGTGGGATTTTTGTTGTTGTTGTTATTGTTTTTGAGACAGGGTTTCAGTTCTGGCTATCCTGGAATTCACTTTGTGGATCAGGCTGGCCTTGAACTCACTGAGATCCACCTGCCTCTACCTCCCAAGTGCTGGGGTTAACAGTGTGCCACCACTGCCTGGAACTTCAGTTTTAAAAGGAACACATTCAAAAGAAGCTTAAAAGAATAAAATTCTGATGATGTCATCACAAATTATCAGTGTGCCCAGGCTGAAGAACTTTGCAGCAAAAGCAGGAAGAGAGATGAGATGACCTGAGTGCCAGTCTGGGGTACACACGGGGGAGGGGAGACCAGGGACGAAGTAGGAATAATCGGGCACTGGAGGGACTTGAGAGTTTGATCTGTGCTGCAGCAGGAGTCTGATGTGACCAGAGCGCCATGAGGAAAGTTACTTGGGCAGTTTCACATAAGCTAGACTGGCTGGCGAGGTGATGGGAAGTCAATGGACTACAAGATGAGATGGAATAAACGAGCATTTTTCATAAAGGCCATTCCAGTTCTGTGGCAATGATTCAACGCTGCCATTCAACACATGCAATGATTCAACCCAGCCACCAACAGCACATAAGTGAATGGTTGTGACTATGTCCTACAACATCATGGATGGGAAACTCAAGTTTCATATAACTTTTAAGAGTCATTAAAACAACAACAGCAACAACAACAAACCCACATCTCTTGGGGGCTGGAGAGATGACTCATAGATTAAGAGCATTGGCTGCTCTTCAAGAGGTCCTGAGTTCAATTCCCAGCAACCACATGGTGGCTCACAACCATCTATAATGAGATCTGGTGTCCTCTTCTGGCCTGCAGGCATGCTTGCAGGCAGAACACTACACATATATACATATTTTTAATCTCTTAACTTCAATATTTTAGAACTGTAAAAAAAAAAAGCTGAGTGGTGGTGGTACACACCTTTAACGCCAGCACTTGGGAGGCAGAGGCAGGCGGATCTCTGTAGACCACCCTGATCTACAAGAGATAGTTCCAGGACAGCCTCCAAAGCCACAGAGAAACCCTGTCTTGAAAAACCGAAAAAAACATTCTTGGGAAACTATATAAAAATCAGGTGGCAAGTTGACTTGGTTTGTGGGCTATGGTTGATAGATGAATAATTTCTATGATTAACCTTAAATTCAGTTAGGCCTTTCCTTAAAATTCGTCTTATTGGTGGCACTTGCCTGATGAAGTGTTGCTAAAGGAGGAGATGCATGTGCTTCATTTCAGGAAGGACCTTCCTTTTCTTCTTCCAAAACTCTTAGGTCAAAGCTGGGGACATAGCTTAGAGGCAGAATACTTGCAGAGTGTGTATGAGGCTCTGGGTTCAATCCCCAGCACTGAAAACCAGCACAGTGGTTCATACCTGTCATCCCAGCACTCAGGAGGCTTAAGCAGGAGGATCAGCAGTTTGAGATCAGTCTTGGACACAGTAAGACCCTGTTTCAGCCAGCCAGCCAGCCAGCCAGCCAGCCAGCCAGCCAGCCGACCAGCCAACCAATCTTGGAAGTCTTAGAATTTAACAAAACATAAATCTCAGATTGATAAACCACTAGAAGAATGAAGATCTAATAAAATTAATCACAGTGTTCAACTGACAAACACTTATAATATTCAGAGTAGTGTAGTGAATTTATATTGAACAAAAACATCTAGTATACATGTGACAGTTTTTGTTTGTTTTAAAATATATGTAGGGTGTCAGGCAGTGGTGGCACATGACTTTAATCCCAGCACTCGGGAGGCAAAGGCAGAGGCAGGCAGATCTCTGTGACTTTGAGGCCTGCCTGGTCCATAGAGGGAATTCAAAGACAGTCAGGGCTACACAGTGAAACCCTGTCTTGAAAAATAAAAAATAAAATCACACACACACACACACACACACACACACAATGTAGAGCTCATACTTGTCTCTGGGATAGAACTTGGGAAGAGTTCTGGTTCATTTGTTGGTGCTGGGCTCTCCTCAAATGCAGTACTTGCAGGCTCTACTGGTTTGTGGTTCTGAGATTGGCCGAAACCTTCATAGTGGCCAGCTTGGGTGGTACGGTTCATGCACATGAGTGACACACCAGCTATCAGAATGCTGCAGAACAGGGTGACTGCTGTGGTGATCATCTGCCAGCATCAGAAAAAGATGTTAGGCTAGCTTTCATAATCTCATCTTAATTCTAGCATAGTAGGTTTAAGAAAACATTCTTTTGGAGAGATGGCTCAGTGTTTAAGAACACTACTCTCCCAGAGGACCCAGGTTCAATTCCTAGCACCCACATAACTGCTCATACCTGCCTGTAATTCCAGTTCCAGAGAATCTGGCACCCACACACATACATATATGCAGGCAAGACACCAATGCATATAAAATAAAAGTAAATCATTTAAAAAAATTTAAAAGAACACTTTAATAGCATATATATCTGTATAGCCTTAAACACTACAGGACAATGTTTCTTCAAAATGGGTAGGAGTATGGAAGGAATGTGATTTACTTGTCAAGAAATCATGGTTTGTCTTTAGTCATACAAGTTTCTTAGATGTTTCATGTAGAGCAAGTAGTTAAAAATACAGTCACTGGTTTTCTTTAAGTAACCAAATGATTTCTTTTTTCTTTAATAAGTGGGATTTAATTTATTTTTTATTTGCATTAGTGTTTTACCTGCATATATGTTTGTGTGGGGATGTTAGATCTTGGAGTTACAGATAGTTGTTAGCTTCCATGTGGGTGCTGGGAAATGAACCTGTGTCCTCTGGAAGAGCAGCCAGTGCTTTTAACCTGTGTCTCCATTATTTACTTCTAAATGCTGCATGTAGCTCAACTATCCTTCAATAAATGGAGGCTTTCTTATCATAATGATTATAAAAATTATAGCTAATATTTATGATCACCAGCTGAATATATTAGTATAAGTCCTTGTTATATATAATCTTGTTTATCCTCGCAAACTGAATTAAAGTTCAAAATTACAAAGCTAAAGGTAAGGATTAAAAATCTTCAGTGGAAGTTTTTTAAAACATGCCCATGGGTCCCATCCCTGAAGCAGTCAGCAAGTCCAATGGAAGTCCTGGTCTATAGCTTCGCAAGCATACTTTCCTCAGATAAGCTTTGTCCTGGACTTCATACTTCCCACAAAAGTAACACATGTGACATTACTGTTGCTACGAAGTTGTTTTATTTTCCTTCAGCAGAGGAAACATAGTTCATAAATGTATCTTGATAAAAAAATCAATTAAGGGGACTAGATAGATAGCTCAGCAGTTAAAAGCACTTTCTACCCCTCCAGGGGTCCTGGCTGGGTTGGATTCCTAGAATCCACATGGCAGCTCAGGACAGTCTGAAACTCCAGTTCCAGGGAATGGACCCAACTCCCTTTGTTGGCCCCATGGTTTCTGTACACAGTCATGTGTATACAAACATTCAGGCAAAACACTCATATACAAAATAAAAATAAATAAATCTTAAAAAATAAAATTAAAAATCAAGTCATAAGCATTTATAAATCTTCTGCTAAAAATATTATACCTCGAGGTGTCATAAGGTATTTTAAAACCACCAACGTCATATAAGATAAATTAAAATATGCTTTCAATTTAATTTTAATATAAGAATATCAAGGTACACAAACTAGCTAAAAAGACATTCTCAAGAATGTCAATAGCCTCTTCCCACCTGCTCTTTTCCATAAAAGAAGGCGGAGTCAATGCTGTCTCCATTGTGTTTTCCAGTTATCAAAAGCACACCAACAAGGAGAGCAGGGATCCTGTAACCAGAGTCATTGAGAAAGACAGTTAATAAGCAGTAGCCGTGTATGGGAACTCCTAAGCAAACAGAGGAAGGCCACTTACCCCCAGCCAGATATTATGATAATTCCCACAGGGATCTGCATGCTCTCTCGCTTTTTTAAAAGAAACAAAGAAACTGCTAGAAGGCCTAGAAACAAGAAAGCAGGGTTGTAAATGAAATGGTTACTGGACATTGAGCAGAAGTTGCAACACTTTACTTTGTAAAAACTGGAATACAAACAGTCATCGTGTGCCTATAGCACAAAGAGGGATGCTCTCGCAGCCTGGACTCTTAGGGGAGTGCCTGGACCCTACCCAGAGTGAAATGACAGACTCTAGATATCCCCTATGTGGAAGGATTTGGCAATAGGGTAGGAGGGTGGGGGGGGGGGAAAGGGGAGTGTGGGAGGAGGGGAGGGAGAGGGAACTGGTATTGACATGTAAAACAAGCTATTTAAAATTAAAATAAAAAATGAAAAAAAAAAACTGTACTTGTGTTGGTTTCCTGGTGGGCCAATTTTCGTTTTGCTCTGTGACTTTGTTTGGCTGGTTTTTTGGTATCAGGTATCAGCTGAACTCCTGCTACCCCTCCTGCTACCCCTCCTCCATTTCCCAAGTCCTGTGGTTACAAGTGTACACTCCCAGCCAGGCGTTGGTGGCGCACGCCTTTAATCCCAGCACTCGGGAGGCAGAGGCAGGTGGATCTCTGTAAGTTTGAGACCAGCCTGGACTACCAATTGAGTTCCAGGACAACCTCCAAAGCCACAGAGAAACCCTGTCTCGGAAAACCAAAACAAAAAACAAAAAAAAACAAGTGTACACTCCCATGCTTTTTTTTTTTAATAGTAGTCTGGGTTTTGTTCTAAATTTTCCTTATAAATAAATGTTGTTTGAATTAATTTTTCTAAATTAAAAATAATTTTGTTTTCCTTTCTATAATCATTTCTTTACTCAAATCTTGTTTTACTGAAGGATTTCTTTTCAAAAGCCATAATTTTTTCCCGTTTATGTGATTAGAATTAAGTAAAATTGGAAAAGTTAACTGTATACAGAACATTTCTAAGAGTGATTCTATTTTGTTGGTGCTAAGAAGTATATACATTTCTTACCCAGGTTAGGTTTTAGAAAATGCCTCAAGTGTAGTTCTGAAGCATCATAAAAAATGATCTAAACAAGCCGGGCGTTAGTGGTGCATGCCTTTCATCCCAGCACTCGGGAGGCAGAGGCAGGCGGATTTCTGTGAGTTCGAGGCCAGCCTGGTCTACAGAGATAGTTCCAGGGTAGCCTCTAAAACAATACAGAGAAACCCTGTGTCAAAAAACCAAAAAAATCTAAACTTAATAGAAATGTGGTACAAATCTAATACAGACATAAATATTCCAAGTTTTTTGTTGTTGTTGTTGTTTTGGTTTGTTTTTTGAGATTGCACTGCTATGTAGCCCAGCTGTCCTTAAACTCTCCATCCTCCTACCTCAGCCTTCTGAGCGCTGAAATGAGACAGGCGTCATGACATCCAGCTTGTTTTCAGGTTCTCGAACTTTCCTTATGCCTGATTCTATCACTTGTACATGTGGCACTTAATAATCTCCACAGGACTACAGAATCTGAGTACTGTAGGTGGAAGGAGTCTCCATTTTAAATTAACACTTTAATTTCATAGGTATGTAAGAAACAAGGTTTGCCCAAGTCACACAGCAGAGGGCAGAGGGCAAAGTGGTGGAGAAACCCAGCCTTTTGAGGAACATGAGAAGTTCTGAAACTGCCCTGGGGTTCCTATGATGTATTTTCAGGATCTGAAAACAATGTGTCTATAAGAAACTTCCAGTCTCTTCAGCATATTTTCAATGATAAACTGTGTCCACCACACAATCAAGTGGTCTCATTAGTCGGAACTTAGATTTCACACTATATATTAGGTTTGAGATAAGTGAAGGCCAGATATTATAGCTTACAGTTCAATGAAGACTTCCAGGGGTTGAAGAAAGAAAGGCAATGAGACAGCCAGATCATAGCCCTGTATGTGTAAGTAACTGAAGCTAACACACAAAAAAGGGGGGTAGAATTCCATTTTACATTTCAAGCTGTGATCTACATTAGCAAAATAAGATCCTGTCTTATAACTAACACTTTAAGTTGGAATTAACATAAACAGGCATGGAAATTTAACACTTTAAACTAGAAGTAACATAAACAGATACTGGGGGTCCTTGAAAAGGGCGTGGCACTCTGAAATGCTGATTCCCTTGCTCTGTGAAGAGGCAGGACTGAGGCAACAGCTGGGACAATGCATTCAGCTCTTGGACTTGCTTCCATAATTTGCAAAATGCAACATTTAAACCGGACCCACAAAAAGATGGAGACATGAACTATTTATACATTTGAAACTGATTAGCATGTGAAGCTCGGGGCTTCACTGGTATTGGATTTAGCAGATGTGTTAAAAAGCAATGGATTTTAAAGGAAAAACAAGACAAGTGCCTGTGCAGATAGGACAGAAATGGTGAAGATGGTTTGTAAACCAATCTGAAAGTGACTGAACATGAGATTTTAGAATACACTAAATGGGTCTGTAATTTTGTCTTCTTAGTGGTAAGCCTAGCCTTTGGCAACTAAGCCATAAAACTGTACTTGCTGTATTTATAATAACCTGGTGATCGCAGGGCATCTTTATTGTACCAGAGAATTCAAAAGTTCTTTAGACAGATCTCAGGGCTTTTTGGCAGACTGCCCTCTTTGTTGCTTTCCTGCTCTCATTACAAATTGCATCTGAATAAACTTAGGGACTAGAGGTCAGTTTGGGCCACCTATACTTGGGATTACAGTCTCTAGGTTCTTTAAATTTGGCATCTCAGGACAAGTATCATGCTATGACAGTTATACTTGCCTTAAAGAAACACAAACCATCTTGGGTTTGTGAACTGGTCATTCTGCAATCCCTCTCCACATTGCTGTTTCACGTCAAAAGGCTGTGAACTTAGATGGGGCCAGCTTTTGATCGTTAGGGCATGAAACCAAAGGTCTTCCCACATGGTCACCTCCTGGCCCTGGGTTATTAGCCACTGTAAATCTCCCTTCTGGACCACTTTATAATTTCTAATTTGTGGTATGAACACAAAAACAACCAAACCAGACAGTACTTTTCACAAACCTAACAGAATGTCTGCTTCTAAATGAATGTTACATTTCAAAATAGCAATGTTAAGGTAAACATTTTGTCATCTTTTTCAGAGTCAACTGAAAGAGTATTCTTTATCATTGGGCCTTCTATTAAAATTAGTTTATCTAGGACTGGAGAGACAGCTCAATGGTTAAGAGCACTGACTGCTCTTTCAGAGGACCTGGGTTCAATTCCCAGCACACACATGGCAGCTCACAACTGTCTGTAATTCCAGTTCCAGGGGACCTGAAACCCATGGCTAAAGCAACAACGCTTATAAAATAAAAATCAATAAAAATTATTTTATCTATATAAGCATTTTGCTTACATGTACATCTATGTGCCATGTGTATGTCTGGTGCCCATGGAGGCCAGTAGAGGACTTTGGATACCCTGGAACTGAAGTTACAGGCAGTTGTGAGCCTTCATATGGGTGTTGGGAATTGAACCTAGGTCCTCTGGAGCAGTCAGTGCTCTTAACCACTTGAAGTCATCTCCACAGCCCACCCCCACATCCTCTTACTCACTTTTCTTGTTCTCTTATTGCCTCTTTCCCTCTATTACATTTCCCCATTTCTTGAATGTCTGTTGTGTACCAGATGCAAATACCTATACTTGACATCATTCTCAGAATATCTGTGTAATGTGCTTCAAGACAGTAATAAAACAGAAGACCCAGGGGCTGGAGACATGGCTCAGAGCTTAAGAGCACTGGCTGCTTTTCCAGAGGACCCAGGTTCAATTCCCAACACCAATATAGCAGTTCACATCTGTCTGTAACTCTAGTTCCAGGGTTTCTGACACCCTCATACAGACATACATGCAGGCAAAACACCAATAAACACAAAATAAAACAAACAAACAAAAACACACAAAGGCCCAAAGGTAGTTAATTTGTATGTGGCAAAACCACAGCTTGCCGTTCAATAGGATCCCAGAAGTGAGCTCTGGGACCATCGAATCTCTGCCCTTTTCCACCTGGTGTCTCCAAGGGGGTGCTATGCTGACACTGGCCTAGAGTCAGTGACCACCAATGAAAAGGACCACGTGACTGAAGAGGGCTTTGAATCTGGCAAAAATAGTGCCTCGGCAGATAACTCAGCTTGTGCGTGCGTGTGTGTGTGTGTGTGTGTGTGTGTGTGTGTGTGTGTGTGTGTGTGTGTAACAGAGTAAGTACCTTCACCTGTGCTAACAAATTTTAAATGGATCAACAGATGCTGAGTATTTTAGAGGGTGAGCAGGGGGCAGACTTCCACAGTCCTTTCAGGAGCCAACTTACCTGTCCACAAATAGGTGCTGTACAGGGAGCTGTACAATAGAACAAACACCAAAATTTGTCCAACAAAATTTTTTTCTTTAACAAAGTTCCATATCATCATTCCAGCACAAACAATAGACTAAAGAAAAAATATGAAAAGATTTTGTAAGTAGTTAAAAGTAAATTGTATGATTCAGTATTATAACAGAAAAAATTATTAATCTAATCATACCCATTGAGGTTTTATTCGCAGAAAATAATCCTTCATTTAAAACTATTGCCAATCATCAACTGTTATATATTGGTTTTACTAAAATTTCAAGCTTTATGATTAAAAACCTCTTTTCCATTGAGCCTTCAACAATGTACATATTAAATGGAAATAAAGACCATATTCTAAATTCTAGCTTTATTTATTAATGATTTACATAGAAAATGTTAAGCTTCTTTCCATTATGATCACATGCCAAGACCGGAATGTAAAGCAAGGTCATGTGAGCTCTCTTTTTGTTATTGTTTTAATCTTCAAGATGGAGTCTTACTCTGATTTCAAACTCACAGCCTCCTAAACGCTCAGAATTGTGTTTTTAATGATTCAATTGTTTGTATCTTAAAATGCCAAGTTATCATTAATTACCATTATTAATCTCAAAGTTTAAAACCGATTACAACATTTAATATATCAAGCACAAATAGCTGTAATTAAATTTTAATTGATTATATCTACTAATAATCCTGACTTCGTAACTGAAAAAAAATCTAACAACGTAATTTTCTCTCATACAGTACAATAATCCCAGGGGAAAGCACCACTTAAATATCTATAAGTACACTAACCTGAGCAATGAGTAAATATCTACAGGTGTACTAACCTGAGCAATGAGTAAATATCTATGGGTGTACTAACCTCAGCAATGAGTGAATATCTACAGGTGTACTAACCTGAGCAATGAGTAAATATCTATGGGTGTACTAACCTGAACAAGGAGTAAATATCTATGGGTGTACTAACCTGAGCAATGAGTAAATATCTACAGGTGTACTAACCTCAGCAATGAGTAAATATCTATTGGTGTACTAACCTGAACAAGGAGTAAATATCTATAGATGTACTAACCTGAGCAATGAGTAAATTCATTGTAAGCATATGAGGAAGCTGCTTGTATTTCTTACTCAAGAGAAGAACAGCTAGAGACCAGATCTTGAAGATAAAAGGTTCAAGTTATTTATGTTTCTCAATCTTTAAAATTACTTACTAAACAGTATATTATAAATCTTTTTTATTGTGGGGTTGGACTGAACTCAGGGCCTCATATATATTAGACAAGCACTCCACCACTGAGCTACATCCCAGCCCTTGGTTTTTTTTTTTTTTGAGACAGGATCTCACTGTATAATCCAGGCTTGCTTTGAACACCAGATCCTCCTGTCTAGAGTTCAAGTGTGCCAGTATGTCTGGTCCCCATGATTAGTATTTTTGCAGAATTCTCTTATCTTCATTCCAGAAGAAAATTTAAGGTCTCATTGAAATTGAAGGTTATTAATATAAATGACTGTATCCAAAGTGAAATAAAGCCATGGGAGATCCATAGTTAACAGAATAGTTCTTTAAGAACTACTGGCTTGACTAGAGCCATATTCTAAATATGTCTACCTTCAGTGGCTGAAGTAGGACACAAAGTCACAACCAACTACTTAGGAAAGAATTTTTCTAAACTTTTCCTTTCTGATTTTTATGACACTAGTTTCTGAGGGATCTAAATTCCAGGTGGTATTATTTCAAACAACACATACCTCCCACACCAAGATTAATCTTGTATTCCTAGTATTTGAAAGGATTGGGTTTCTCCACTTCCTCTTCCTTCTTTTCTGGTTAGTACTGGGATTGAACCTAGAGCCTCATGCATGCTAAGCACATGTTGTAAACTAACCTACACCCCAGTCCCAGGACTGAGTTTCTATTCTACCTTCATACTTCCAAGGAAAGTATGCTGGGTAATTTTCCTCTCGTCTTGCCAATAGACATTGATACCTTCTGTCTCTCTGAACTACCTTCTTATCAAGGAAATTGATTTTTAAGAGTATGTGATAGGCGCCTGGCAGTGGTGGTGCATGCCTTTAGTCCAAGCACTCGGGAGGCAAAGGCAGAAGGATCTCTGTGAGTTCAAGGCCATGCTGGCCTATAAAGACAGTTTCAGGATAGCCAAAGACTACACATAGAGAAACCCTGTCTTGAAAAAAAAAAAAGAGTATAGGACAGATATTGGATTTCCTAAGAATCACATTAGTTGTGTATTTATTTATTGTTAACATACATATCCATTCTCATATCCATTTCTTTTAAGTATAAACATTGTAAAAAAAAAAAGAATAAACACAGTCTTTTTCCAATCTAGAATCTGGCTGAATTCAGCAATCTGATCTATATGATACTCTAGTTGTTAAAGGCTTATGTATTTGAGCTAGCAGGACCAAATTTGAAGTTATCTGGTTTCATTAAAAAAAAAAAGGTTAATCTTGATCCCAAAGACCTTTGCTGGTCCTATGATTCTAGAATAGCTAGTATTTGTATGGAGATCATTATTCATAGGATGCTTATCTCATTCTCTGGGACCTTAAAACAATCCACAGAACTAGATGAAATAAAGAAAACTAAGCTTAAGAGAGGTTAAGTAACTGCAAAGAGACACATAGGTAACTTGCAATAGGACAAAGAATAAAATCCAAGTTTGACTAAGTCACACACCTTACCCACTATACAACTCAAAACTCCCCATTGGAAAGACAAGCTTAGTTAATTAGGAAGCTGATATTGCATTTTTTTTCAGATAGACTTTGGTTCTCTTTTTTTTTTAAGTTTTAAAAATCATTTTCTCGCTGGGTGGTGGTGGCACACACCTTTAATCCCAGCACTCAGGAGGCAGAGCAGGCAGATCTCTGTGAGTTCGAGACCTGACTGGTCTACAAGAGCTAGTTCCAGGACAGCCTCCAAAGCCACAGAGAAACCCTGTCTCTAAAAACAAAAAACAAAACAAAAAAACATTTTCTCTTAGAAGTTTTGTCAAACTTATTTTGTTGTTTCTATTCAATTTGACACTGAAACATACTTACCAAGGAGACCAGACTGATAATACTTATATCAAAACTAACATTCTGAATGGCATATGCCAATGGCTTAGCATCCATGGTGGGAAAAGTCAATAACCAGGCAGAAACATACATGATTGGAGCAGACACAAATGTGCTTATTACCATCCCTGAGGTTATCTGCAAAAATGAGATCAAATTAAGGAGTCATAACTTACCTAAACAATTGCTAAAAAATTCAAATACCCATAATACACTAATGCTTTTTAAGCTGAAAATGAAACCCAGTAAAGACATTATAGAACTCAGGATATGGTCTGACATCATACTTCTCCTTTCTATGTGACTGCTCCATTGGCCCCTTTCTAATCTAGGTTCAAATGATATTTACATATAAAAATACTATATATTATGTTGTTGATCATCTTCTAAGTACTGGAAAGAGCACCCTTCCAATGGTCTAATTAAATCTATGAACAGTTTTCTTCCATGCAACTTCACAAACTATGGGAAAGAAGTCAACAGAAAATAATATTAAACATGATATAATAGATTAATTCATGGGACTGTCCCTCATATTATATTTCCAAACCCCTTAATACAGATGGCATTAATTTACCAATTTTCTCTAGTTTATTGTGGGGTATTTTTGTGATGATTGAATTATAATGAATGAAATATTTTCCCCTCAAAATTTCCAAAGTTACCCCCTGTATATAACTTTAAATAGAAGCGTAGATGGAAAGTATTTAAAACAAAGACTAATAAAAGAGCATGGGTTTAAAAACTAAGAAAACAGCAAGGATGAATAAGGTTCCCATGTTAAATAACTATGGTTATATAATGTTACAGAATATCTTCTTATTTACAGTGCAGCAGCTTAGAAAGCTCAAATTCTCATTAAAAGAATGTTGCTTTCTGCGTTTCACAACTTCATTTTTCTCTTCGCCACAAAACCACCAGACTTAGAAAAAAAAGTGCATACATACAATCTCTACTTCCATGTTGAACTGTGTTGCAAAGATAGCCACTCCCGGGGCTACAGGGAAGACGCCATAGAGAAAGGCATAATTGGACAAACTTGTATGGTTGACTATACTGTCACCCTTGTCCAAGAGTTCTACCATTTCTCTGCACAGAAGGGGCAGCACCAGGCTGGAGAAAGAAGAGGTGTAGACGTTACTTAATAGCAATGCCTGTGTATCCCCGCTAGTACTGCTCTGGTGAATCTGAAATTTTGTTACTATTTTCCTCCTGTCCAGAAGGCACTTATATTTCCATGCAATATATTCTATTGCTGCTGGAATTTTGTTGAAAGCCAGGAATTCAGCCAGGGGCCATTTCAAGAACAATGTCCTGGAATATTTCAAACATCAGGGAATATAAAGGGGAAAACGGGTTTTTACAATTTTTTTTGCAAAAAAAAAAAAAAAACCCTGTAAGCATTTTAATTACAGCTGCTTTCTTGCTTCTTCTATTGGTTAACTGCAATGTGAAATGGAAAAGGTTGAAAATCTTTGTAACTTCTTTCAAGTAACTTTTTGGAAAAAAAGCTGAATTTTGTGATTAAGTGTTTAAATGATTCAATTAATGATAGTGCAGCCCAATAAAATTCTTAAAAACAGTAGAAAAGTAGGCATCTTAGTAATTAGTTCTTGGTATTTGTAAATAAAAAGAAAGATTCAGCAGAGGGAACCGAAACAACTGTGTGGAGCGAGCACAAAGGGAAGCCAGGTCTGGTGAGGAATCTATTATTAGAGTCTTCACCCTTATGCGGAAAGAACAGAGCAGTCACCAGGCCGATAGGCTTGCCTTCAGAAGAGCAGGCTGATACACTGTTGCAGCAGTGCCTAAAGAGGTGTGCTAGGATAGGAATGTGCGTACGTGTGCACAGCTGCGCCTGTGAAGGCCAACGGCTGACACTGAAAGTCTTCCTCAGCTGCTCTACCCCTTATTGTTTGAGACAAGACCACTCACTGACCCTTCAGTTCGACACTTTGGCTAGGCTGACTGAAGGAAGCCTCAGGAACTCTTCCTGTCTCCCCGGTCCCGTTTCTGGAATTACAGGCATGTGCCGCTGTGTCTGGCTTTTTACGTGCCTGCTATAGAACCAAACTCATGTTCTCATGTTTGTGTAACTTTACATACTGAACCACCTCCCCAGTCCTGAATTTCCCTTAGGTGTTTGTTGTAATAGACAGTTCATGCAACTAGGGCACTGTAACTCCTTCTTATAAATGTATGTATGTACGCATGAATGTATGTATTTTATGTGTGTGGGTGCATGGCTTGCTTGTATTTCTGTGCACCGTGTACATGCAGTGCCCAGAGAGGCCAGAAGAGGGAGTTGGGTCTCCCTGGAGCTGGAGTTACAGAAGGTTGTGGGATACCATGTGGGTCCTGGGAATCAAACCCTGGTTGTCTAAAAGAAGAATCAATGCTGACACCTCTCCAGCCCCCAATTTTTTTTAAATCAAATACCTAATAAGAATAAAAAAAACCTTGAAAAATTTTAATTAACATTGAAATTACAATATTATCATTATCGAAACAACACTACAGTGGAAATACTAACTCATATATTCTGAAGAACAATTTACCACCAAAAATATTTTTCAGAACTATTTATTTTATTTATTTTGTCCTGGTCCCATGGATTTAACTCTTACATAAGAGTTGAATTCCACATTTAAGCATGCACTAAGTGTTTTGGGTAATATTGCAGTAAAATTATGTCAACTCCATGGATGACAAGCCGATAAGCTGAAGAACTATTAATAAAAAGTATTTCTACTGTAATGTTGTTCCAATAATGATAATATGTCCAAAAATGTTTATGTCACTGAATAGTTTCCAAAATTCTTTTAAAAAATAGTGATTATTAAAATATTATTCTTAAACAATAAGATGCTTATACTTTATGATTTCTAATGGACTTAGAAATTTTGCAAAATTTGTTTTAAAAACATGCTCTAGAGATATGGTATAGTTCAATGGCAAAACAGTTACCTAGCACATCCAAGGCCCTGAGTTTGATGCCCAGAACCATAAAAGCTGATTAAGTATGATTTTTACTGAGACATTGAAAATATTAGGCAAACTTTATATCTGAAGTAAAACCAATAATCTTTGTCTTCTAACAGTAAAGTAGTGAAAATAACTTACATGCCTTAGTAAGGAAATAATTATTTTACAATACCCAACTAGCCCATTTTCCTTTCAATCACAGCAGCTATCTAAGTAAGATTAATGTCCAAAGGAAAAATTTGCTGCAATACAACCCAGTGCGTTGGTTAAACAGGCTTTTCTCCCTCTTACAACTGCCAAGTTAAACAAGCGAGACTTACAGTTTGGCCGTGATGAGAAGAGTAAGCACGACAAATGCCGACTTCTTCAGTCGCTTTATTTTCCCCACCATTGTCAGACCAAGATAAAACAGGGCTGATCCAGAGAAGGAATTTGCAAGTCCATCAAGGAAATTTTCCATATACACAGGGATCTTTTTGTCAAGAATAAAATTGAAGGCAATGCCAACAAAGACCATAAACACTATCGGGTTCTGTAACACATGTAGAAATCCAAGTCCCACAATTTTTACTTTATTTTGAGAAGCATTTTGAGTGTCCTTAGACTTCTGGATTTCACAGAAGATAAACCCAATAGGGTTTAACATCATAAGAGATATTGGTGCCACCAAATAAATATACTGGAGATATTCTGGGTATGTGGTTTGATACAGAGCTTCAACTGTAAAACAAGAATATTAGCACAAAATTATACAAATATGCATATGACATTTTTGTGCTTGTTTATATCATTGGAAGTTAGTCTAGGGATGGATAGCCCCACTCACTTATTTTTAGAAAGGCAAATTTTAGTAATAAAACTGACAAAAAAGAACTTACCATATTAAGTACCATCCAGTTTATACAATAACAACAATCAACTTTAAGTTATTTTTTACAAAAACCAACTATTTTCCAATATAGAGGCTTAAAATTGAATCTCTAAAAGGGCAGAGCTGTAAAATTTTTAAAAGAGCAAAGTATAAATCTGAAGAAGTAACGATATCAACAAGATATTTGCTTGAACTCATGGAGCGAGCATCTTCATTGGTGTGGTAAGGCAGGAGTCAGATGGCAGCTGATGGGGGAGAGTAGGTCAGGAACTCAACAGCCCTGTGTGAACTTTCTCCATAGGGAAAGATGTAGGCATAAGACCCCAGGCACGTCTGAATTAGGTACAGTTGGAAGTTCAGAAGTTTTCAGTCAGATTGTGAGCGATCAAGTTTATATTTTCCAGACGTGGTATAGGATGTGGCCATGTGAGCTGGCAGCTGACAAGTAGGAAAGGCTTCCCTGGAGAAGAGGAGGCCACGGAACTGAGAGGGCAGAGAATTCAGTGGGTAGCTGAGGAGGATGCTAACATCAAGAGACAAAAGTAGAACTTCATAATGAAGAAGAGAGTCAGACATTAAGGTCTGCAGCGGATGGGAGGAAAGGACTAGAACAGAGAGGAGTGATTGAGCCAATCAACTTTAACAGATGTCATCAAGAAAGCAGCCAGTAACGTCCTACAGACAGCACCGGGTAAACAGTGAGGAAGAGAGCCCCAGTGATACCTACGCTTGCTTGTGGGGCATGAGCTATGGGATCACGCTTCTAGCAGTTCTAGAAGGTGAAGACTGAGGGACCGGTCTGGGGTGAAACCAGGCAACTTAAAGCCGCTTGGTCTTCAGGCTTGTTTTGGACATAGAACTTGAACCTATCTAACTGGAAGTATACAAAAGCCCATTCATAATGGATGTCAAGTTGCGAAATAAAACGAATGTCACAGTCATTCCAAGGGGAGAGGCAGTCATGTGAGAACAATGCAGATCGAGTTTCTTAATTTAAACTAAGATAAAGTACACAAGTAGGAAAATATATTTGTTTACCTACTTGGGATTCAGAAGTTCAGTTAATGTCAGACACATGTCCTTCCGTTAAAGTTATGTAATAGATTATATAACCTCAGAACTCCACCTTGATCTCATTAGCTACTCTTACTTTTTATAAGATTCAAATCTCTTTTCTCCTAGTTAAGCATCTACATGGGTCTGTGTTATCTCCAAAATAGAGCAGAGGTTAAATGACATAAAACTTCATCAGTTCTCTTCACACTGACTTCTAAGTTAGACGTGCTGGCTTGATGACTCCATGGCTGCCTTCCATGTTTCCTGGTGCTTTTTTTTTTTTTTTTTTTTTTGGTTTCATGAGACAGGGTTTCTCTGTATTGTTTTGGAGGCTGTCGGTCCAGCCCGGCCTCGAACTCACAGAGATCCGCCTGCCTCTGCCTCCCGAGTGCTGGGATTAAAGGCGTGCGCCACCACTGCCCGGCTCCTGGTGCTTTTTAAAGTAAAAAGTCCCATCTTGACAATTATCCTACACTTCTTAGGTATTCCACCTCTAGGAAAAAGGTGTCCGTATCTGCCCACCACTTTAGTTTCTTAAATGGAGTGTATATTTAGCGATTGTCTTGCATTTTCAGTCTGGTTTTAAGAATTTTTCCTAAGTGACCACAGGGCACTGCGGGAGTGTTTTCTGTGGCAACCTTCATCTCCAACTCCACGCTCTCCTCAAAGCCCTTATACTGATTGATCACTGGTGTAGAGAAGTTTCTAGTCCTGGCACATCACTGGTCACTACCAATTAATGAACAATCTCCTCTCACTCCCTCCCTCTCTCTCAAGAATTCAATGCAAGCCTGAGCAACAGTTTTCCATTGCTGCTGCTAGGCAGTCATCAGATACAGCAGCACCCCATCCTTTCTTTGGCTTCCTACGTGCCCAGTTATCCATGGGTAATAAGAACAGTAAGCAGAGTGCAGTGAGACAGCTTGAGAGAAAAGGATAGAGACCACAGCCCACATCATTTTTTACAGTATATTACTAGTCTGTCTTACTAGTTATTGTCAAACTCTTGGTGTACCAAATTTATACATTAACCCTGATCATAGGTAGATATGGATAAGACCTTTGTTATATGTAATATGCATTTATAATTGAGAATCGCATCACTTAGGATACCGAGGCAAGAACTGCTGCTGGGGTTTATGGCTTAGTGTGTATGGGTGTCCGAAGGGGATCTTGGCACACTCTCCCGTCAGATAAGGGAGATTACTGTCCTTCCTTTGTAGGGTCTTTTGTAGTTTCTCTTGATTCTTACTCCTATCAGTTAAAAGTCTGAAAATTGGGTTACTAGGTGTTCTCACGAACCAGTGTTCTTCTGTGTTTTCTCAACCACTCCTTTCATCCATATTATTAACCATCTAAATCGCAACTACGCAAAGTCAAAACTTCCAAAAATTAGCATTTTTCCATCACTTCCGCCACTCACTGGCACAGCTCTTGTGGCTTTCTTTTAATGAGCACAGCCAGTCCCCGTAATCGTCCTATTTATCCAAACACATCTTTTACTACTCCATAAAGCAAAGACTCCATCTTCCAGATCTCTATCCCAGGCACAGTAGACAAACAGTGCACCCATAAACACAGGCTCCGCTTGCTGACCATGCCTTCACTCTAACACCTTGAATTTCTTTCTTTCTGAAACTTGCCTAATATTTACAGCCAGTCTCTTGCACTCGCTCTACCAAGTCTTCAAGCTCCATCCTTAAATCTCACCTTCTCTGGAATACCGTGCATCAATGCTACCTCAAGAAATTCTAAGTGCCCTGGAGGCATCATTCCATAACCCACAGACCCCGCCCAACATAGTACTGAACAAATCTGACCAACAGAATTAATTGATACATCAACAAAAGCTAAGGGTATCAGGTATAGTAAAATGTACTTTGTATCATACAACAATTTATATCTGTTACTAGTTAATCTGGCTCTTTTGGGATCCATATTTTATTTTTAAATTATCACCTTAATTATCCTTTTTTGATGCACGTATGTACACATTCATGCGTGTGGAGGCCAGAGGTGATGTTGAATGTTTTTCTCAATCACTCTCCACCTTACCCTTTGAAACGGACCTTTGGTTCACTGTTTCAGCTGGCTAACCAGCGGGCTTCAGGGGTCTCCGTCTCTGCCTCCCCAGCACTGGGATTTTAAGCTCACATGGGGCTCATACGTACACAGCAAGCACCTCGCCATCCCTGGCATCATCCTAGCTCCTTAGCTTGATTTTTGATACAGAATCTCACACTGTAGCCTAGGCTGGCTTTGAACTCCCAGCAGTCCCCTTGCTTCAGCCTCCTGAATAACAGGATTACCAATGTATTTTAAATTGGCCAATAAAAATCACACATGTTATATACATGTTACTTTGAAATTTTTAAATTTTGGAATGGTTAAATTAAGCTCACAGCATACATATTTTCTTATATAATTTTCAGTGATGTGCACACTTACATTGTTATTAACTGTATTCACTATGTTGTACAATAGTCCTCTTGAACTTATTTCTCTTATCTAACTGAACTTTCATGTTTTTTTCCTTTTTACACATTGCGAATATTTATAAAGCAGGTTACAATTATAGTCTTTCAACTCAGCCAAACTAGTGCATAAGGGCAAAAGAAGCAATGTCTAGTGGGAGAGCAAATAATCATGATTAAATAAATGCTTATTAAATTACTGGTAGAAAGGGGTTCAACATGGGAATTTTAGTCTCTTTTGCCACTCATTTCCATAATTACTTAGCATTCCATCCTTATAAATTGGCAGTTAGCAACCTGAAGACAATCTTTCAAATCGGAAAGGAAAATACACATGAATACAGTGACCTATAGCAACTAAAATTAGATTTATAATCACTACTCAGCTATTAAGTCCTAATTAATTAACGATTATAAATAAGGCTCTTAGAGGGAGGGGGAATCCCATTATGAGGAGTTAGTATATAGCTTGTAAGAACTAAGATAAAATTAGCCACCCACTGTGACTCCTATTTTGATTCCTGCAGGGTTTCAATCTCTAGAAAATAACACACAGACCCTGACAAGACCATTCCATTACTTAATGGCATATAGTTAAACGGCTTCATCTCCATTGTGTTTACAGCTCAAGCACTAGAGCCTAATTATGATTAGTCAGGGTACTTATGTTATCAGCATTGTTTGAAGAATAAATTATAGGACTTAACTATGCCCTATTAGTATCTTTTAATGACAGAGGCAGGGAGCCATTCTGATCTGCTGGAATTGGCATGTCACCTTTGTAGATTCTTGGTTTCTTCTCACACCTGCATTTTTAAAAGTACCTTTGAAAAGAATTGTCCTAAAAGACTGTAAACCTTTTTCAGTCTGTAATTCACTTGACTTTAATGTAAAACCTACATAGTAACATAGCATTATCTATTTTCTATATACTATCGTATATAGTATATCTTTCCTATACACTAAGAAAAGATACATAGTCATCTTTTTCTTTATTCACTAACCTATCTATCTTCTCTCCACGCCAGTATTTCCCAAGTCACCTGTAAATTGAGCCGGTGAGGAGCAAATGCAACCCTAAAAAGGATGTTTCTTCTAATTCATTATCAACACTTCTCTTTCAACATGATACTGGGAATGCCTAGCAGAAGTTGTGAAACACACCAAAAGAAAGGTCTCCCTGGCGACTGTCTTCTCTGTTCACCATGTGCAAGAGCAGAAGACAGATGGAGACAGACTGCACTAACAAATACCCTACTAGGGAGCAGACATACGACATAATGTTCTGTACACATCTTCCATTTAACAAGTAGACGAGAAAGCTGTCTGTATGACTGGCTTTTAATAAAGTTATAGTCTATAGCCTGGTGTTACAAGCGTTATTATCTGTGAGTAAAACAAACAACAAAAATTATAACCCCAAATTACACAACATATTCATTCAGGTTGTTATACCACTAGGAACTTGATTATTACCACATTAAAGATATAACATGGAATGTAAGAAAAACAGTGATGAAATGGCTGGGTATATACATATACATATACATATACATTAGAAAGCATCGTAATAGGAAGAGTAAGTCATCCAATAGCTTTTTTCCACGTCTGCTCTCTCCTCCTCTTTGCGTGTTCATGAATCTGTGCATGCATCCAGAGACCAGAGGAGAAGGCCTGGAGGCTTTCTCTATCTCTCTCCATGGTATTCTAGAGACAGGTCTCTCACTAAACCTGAAGCTCATTCAAGGTAGGCTGCCTGGTCAGTGAGTTCCAGGGCCCACCTGCCCCTCCTCCCAGCACTGGGGGTTACAGGAAGGAAAGGTCTGTCTGACTTTTTTCTTTAAGCTGGTAAAGAAGGCTCTTATTGAGGGCAAGGAAACACACACATAAAGCAAACACAGAGTTGAAGAGTTTTCAGAAAGCAGAGGGTGGCTCCGGAAGCTAAAGCAACCATGCCTAGTCTAAGTGGATGCTGGGGGTTTGAATCCAGGTTCTCTTGCTTTTGCAGCACACACTCTTACTAAGCTACCCCTCCAGCTCTCCCCGCCCCCAAACATATTTTGAAGACAAAAAACATCTGATTCTGTTCTGAAACTGCTAAATTGCAAAGGTTGATCAGGTCTTCTATGATAGACCTAGCCTGTTATGTAACCGTATGGCATACCAGAGTGCCAGGGATTTAGAACCAGAAAGCCTAGAGTTGGTTCTCAGGCACATGTTAGCTATGTGACCTAGGTTAATACAATCCTGTAACCCTGTCTCCTTATTTGAAAGTGATAATATCTGCCCTATTCAAATAATAAAGTCTCCTGTAAACTATAAAGTTACAAATGTTAGTTCTCGTTATGAGATTACTAGTCTATAAAAATATGAAACTATAGATGCCTAGTACATGTCTAAAATAAGAACAATATTTATTAAATATTTAACACTATGGCAACATGTTGCTTCTGGAGTCTTTATCCTACAAAGCCTTGGCCAGACTACATTCTTATTTCTTCTAAGGACAGGGACAAACATTAGTTTCTGCTGTGTAATTTCGACTTAAAGTTTAGTAACTCCAAAGGAATACCTGCAGAGCTTCTATTTATAGACCAGTTACCTAAGAGCCCTGCTTTACCCGCTCTTCAGTCTCCTGCTTTACTCCACGCTATTTGATTTCTTTGGTATTTTTCCATGGCTAAAATGAGGAAAGTTGAACATTATAGTTCACTACAATCTTTTTGGTGCCAGTGGTAACATGGCTTGGGTGAGGAGGATGGGATAAAATGACCTAGGCCTGAGAGTCCATGGTAGGTTTCGACTGTACAGTTTAATATTCCCCTGAATCTCTGCTCTGAAGATTAACCCATCTCTCTGCCACCGTAGCATCTCCTCACACCTGGCCCTTACTCCATCCTCTGGCGCCCTGACAACATTTCTTATGATCTTAGTTTCTATCATAGCTTTAATTCTTCATTGAAATCTGAACTCAGTATGTTTGAGAACTCTGTTCACAGGTCTCTTCCTAGCCCAGCATGTTGCACCTTCCCATGAGCAAATGGATGGACACAGACACAATAGTCCCATGCTGTGATGCGTGGTTAAAACACGCACAACTTGCATTTTTAAATACTAAAAAATGAGTTTCTAGGAATGGTTGTATATTCTGAAAAACAAAATATACTTCCTCTCAAGAAACTACAGCATCCCAAATTAGTGTGCTTATCGTTTTACCAGAAAATGTAAAATTGCCCTGTGTACAGAACTACAGACATAACAGCGTCCTCACCACTTTTGTCCTTAAACAAGAATTTAGCATCAACACAAATATGCTGAAAACTCAAATGACAAGCTCACAAGCAAATTTCAGTGTAAAATGATCTATTATAGTCTAGAGCCTAAGAACAAGGATGGTGTGGAAAAGCCATTAATGCCATAAATTCCCACTGCTGGCACGCAGTGATGAGTACTTTCATAGGGACATAAGATTTTTTAAAAAATATAATTTAAATCAGAATGTGATTCCCTCTAGAAATTAGATTTCTTTACATGAGATATGGAGAAGAAATAGAATACTATTAGAAAGATTATCCCCTAAGGTATTAGAATATGACCATTTACTTTAGATAGAAAATTAAGTAATCCTTAAAACTCTGAAATTAAAGAAAAATATTCTAATTTCAGACAGCTTTAAGGAAAAAATAATGGGTTGGATTTGAAGCAGGGAAAGCTGTAATCAGAATATCCTGTGTGAAAAAAATTTCAATTAAACAAACAACGAATGATTCCCTAGAGATGAGAATAAGACTATGTCACTAACAAAAGCTTAAATATATCAAAAACTTATGCTGCCATATAAAATGCTTGAACTTTTTTAAAACCGAAGAATAAAAAGAACTTACCTATAGGATATCCCAATGCAAAGTCATTGCTTTGTGTAGCAAAAATAGGGAATAGCCCAGCTTTGCTAAATCGACTCTCAGGACTGGCAACCAATAAGGTTAAAACACATACAATGAAAAACACAGAGGCTTTGCCAATTAAGATACTATATAGGAAAGCCCAGTCCACATTAGAGAAATTAAGTACAACCATGTTTTTGAATAATAAAGCTGGAAGGGCAAATCTGGAGACGAAATTTCCCAGTCCTTTGGCCTGTGTTGACGTTATGACATTGGCCCTTCCTGCTATGTAGCCACAAAGGACTATGCCAAAGCATTCTAGCAAGGCTGGAAAAAGCCTTGTTATGGACATTGAAGGTGGGTCATTGGTGGAATTAAATCCATGAGTTACTGTTGCAGACAAAGTCTCATTCATATTAATGGCCAGAGTTGAGTTCTCTGCTGAAAAATAAGAGTCCATTTTCTCTCTCCTTCCACCTCCAACCACCAGGTCTCTGAAAAAAATGAAAAAGAAATAATAGAAAAGAAAATTTAGTGTCACGACTGTTCAGAGTACAGACTGAAACGGAACGCTACAAACCTGGACTTACTTACAGTTTAAATGGCCAAACAAATGTTCATACTCTCTTCAGTGTCCACCAGGGGAAACAAGATTGAAAGGAGCTGGGGGAAGTACTTCACTCTCAAAGGTTACCTTACCATTCTATGAAGTGTCAGACACGAGTAAAACAAGATCCACAAACATTACAGCTGCAGTGACGCCCTGTGGTTCTCTCCAGGCACCCGCAATCTGCCTCCATCTAGTGCCAAGAGGAGGAGGCCCAGTGTCTGCAAAGGACCTCCTTGCACCTGGATTCTCCAGAAACTTCCGAAGTTCTCGGGGATAGACTAAGGAGTGACACTGTAACCAGAAGGTCCCTTCTAGCCTGAGGTCATGCTTGAGCATAAGGGAGAATCATAGCAGGGCACCACTTACCAACTTGATCCCAACACTTAACTTCTTATGCTTCGCTTTACCATCTGTGAAGGATCAATATCAGTAGAGTGCTTATACTCTAATCACATGCAGCACACAGTAATTATTTAACCAGCGCTGAATATAACTTTTGGTAGAGTATGAGCAAACCTATGAAAGAAAAGAAGTGATTAAAAAAAAATGTCATTCCGCCAGCCTCCTCTTAGTTCCTTTAATGTAAGCACATACACAGGCCTACAGTCCCTTAGTGCCACGGGGGACTTGACACATGTAGTGCACTCTAAAATTTTCTCTGCCATTTGCACTGCCCACATAATTAGCACCTACCCAGTCTCCAAACTCAACCATACGGTTCTGGAATCATTTCATCAGGTGAGGTTTCTTTAATCACATAGTTAGGCATGATTCTTCCTCAAATAAAATCACGATCCTTCCCTTTCGTCTGCTTTTCTCAGTCTGTTTATCCCAATGCCTTGAAATGACTGCCGTATGCCTGTCTCCTTTACCAGACTTGAAATGTCACAGAAGCAAAGGTCACCCATGCCTTTACACATCCGTGTCCCTAATATCTAGCACAATGCCTGGCATCATAGGAAGCACTGGGGAGGGGGACTTGATTTGTTACAATTTTCACTAAATTCATTAAATAACAACCTTTCCTTAAATCAACCCCTTCTCTCACTGTCAGTTCTCTTTTAGGTATTATCTAGTTCATGAATAGATCATCTCTCTTTCTAAACAATAAATGTTTTTCACAGCAGTAACAACTCCCAAAACACAAACTGTATCCTAGGATGGAGTAAGTTCTGTGTGCTAATATAGCAACTGATAGACTCCCCTCCTCTTGTTGCCAGAGATTCAATGAGCACAAACTTTAAATAATTCTGAGACAAATCAGTTTTTAATAGTAATTTGGAATTAATCTGATAGTAATTGTCAATAACTAAGTGATTATTCAAGTTTTATCATCTAAAGTGGCACTACATGCCAGGGGAAAAATCTGGTGTTTCCTGCAAGTTACAGGAATTTGGTTAAATTCTTGAACACCCACACCACATTCGAAAGACTTGGCCTTAACCATCAAATGTTACACAGGTTGTGTAAGAGAATATTCCTTGAGCTGCTCTCTATAAGACAAACCCTTTTAAAAACCTTATATGTAACTGGGATTAAGACAAGTATTTTTTTTTAACCAGGATTAAACAGGAGTGGTTAGTAGAAACTGATCCTACAATGTTCACATATTTGAGTTTTAACAAATAAATACTAAATTATACTGATTGGTACAGTGAGAGGTTCTGGTTGGTATACATAGCCAGGTACTGGTTGGTACACATAGCCAGGTTCTGGTTGGGACACCTAGCCAGGTTTGGGTTGGGACACATAGCCAGGTACTAGTTGGTACACACAGACAGGTACTGGTTGGGACACATAGCCAGGTTCTGGTTAGCACATATAGCCAGGTTCTGTTGGGACACATAGCCAGGTATTGGTTGGGACACAGCCAGGTTCTGGTTGGTACACATAGCCATCCTTGAAGGATCTGATCAACAATCAGACTTGAGTGTTAAATATTGGAGCCCTTAAGAAATGTGTCCTTAGAAAGGTAGTGGGAAAGGAGGAGAGAAACTGCCCAGACTTTTGATGCTGTTCCAAAGCTCCCTGTAATTTTTTACTTGGATAACTCACAACCCCCTATTTGGACTACATAAGACAACAGTGTAGTTTTATATATATATATTTTTAAAACAACAGTCCTAATTAACAATAGTTAAGTGAAAAGAGTAACAGACTTTGAAACCTAACCCTTATCAACTCTTTGGGTCAATTAATTACTTTGCCTCCCTCAGCTGGTTTCCTTGACTGTAAAATTACCAGGGAAACCTCCTTAGAGAGATACTGTAGAGAAAGGATGTTTAATACACAGTTTATCACAGAATAGGCCTTCAAGAAATGGCAATAGTTCTAGTGCCAAGTGTGGTGTCCCATACTGGAAACCCAGAATTGGAAGAGAGAGGCAAGAGGATCAAAGCTCAAAGCTAGCTGGGGCTGCACACTGATACCCTGCCTCAAAAAACAAACAAAACCTAATAATCAAAGGAGACACCAAAGGGGGTGAGAGAGGGGGGCAGAGAGACCTAGACCTAATGGTAATGATTCGGATAGAAACAAAGTAAAGACCACTCCTTGTCCTAAGTAGCTCTACAAATACCTCTGCCATTGAAGATCAATAATAGTACTACTAGATAGTCCATAAAGTTACCATTTGGGATGTGTTATAAAGTTACCAGACTCTATTGTAGACCCACCAATTAAGAAGAGTTGAATTTAGTTTGATTTCAAGTAGCTATTGACAGTGAACAAAGACCTCTTCATCAGTGGGGTGGCCAATAGGAGAAGCAACACCCAGGTTCAGCTTTCAATTATTTCAAAATTAAAAAAAATTTAAAAGTAACCTGCTCCTTTCCCCCTTTAATTTTTCCAGTGTCATAAAAGCAACAGTTCCTGAGACAAATGAAAATTAAAACAACTTCTAGCCTGACATGATATCACACACCTCTAATCCCAGCACTAGGGAGGCAGAGGCAGGAAGACAATGTTCAAGCCCAGCCTCAGCTACACAATAAAGCCAGTTGGGACTTACATTAGCGATTGTTTCAAAATAAGTAAGGGAAAATTCAAAAATAAACCTCAAGCTTTATCTCATACCACTAAAAAAAAAAAAAAAAAGCCTTCCAAAGCACATTTTAAGATGAACAAGAACCACAACAAAGGAAGTTTTAAAAAAATGACATCCAGTCCTTTAATCTACAAAAACAAGGCTTGTTACAGAACAAACAAGTTGACCTGCCACTGTACAAACCAGTTCACTGGGGCAGACACTAGAAAATAAAGTATACAAACGGCCTAAGCACTTTATATTTGACTTAGATAACATCACCAAAGCACTGAAATAGTAGGTTAATTGCTATTAAGTTAAAATGGGGTGCAGTGTTAACTTGAAAGAGAAAGCTTCAAACTCTTAGGCTGTTCTTTTCTCAGACACACAATATTCTTCCTCCATGAGAAAAACCTAATGCCGTGTAGCATTATAAAAGAACTCTTAAACATCATCAGGCACCCTATTCACTGCCTTTTTCTCTCATCTGTCTGCAAGGGACAGACTTTGGCCCTCCAAGATAAGAAGTGCAGAGTCCCTAACCCAACAGAAGGCCCCGCGGGCTGCTGACATCCGTGGAAATGGAAAGCCAGGGCATGGGAGTCACGCCAGGTGCTCCGTAAAAAAGGGAGAAAAATTGGCGCAAAACACCAGGTACCTGGGCAGAGGCGCTCAGGAGGGGTAGACACTAAGGCCACCTTGATATAAAGTGAAAAGTCAAAGATGACAGGGTTGGCGCACGTGCAACGGGGCTCTCTGCACCCCGGGAACGCAGCTCTGGCACCAGATGGGACAAGTCACCCTTTCTGTGCAGACCATCCCGAGTGTTCCCGCAGGTTTCAGGAGTAGGCGCTGCGGGGCAGAGAGGGACAGGAGCAGCAATGGGCCGAGGACCGGGACACCCGAGTCTGGCGCTGCCCACTGGTCCAGACTCCAGGGACAGGGGCAGGGGCAGGGGCAGGGGCAGGAGCTAGACCCGGCAGGTCCACGCTACCGGCGCTCATCTCACCTGCTAGGTCTGCAGCCCGGGCTGCGAGGAGGACTCCGGTGCTCGCAGAGGGCAAAGCAGCGAGCACACAGCCGTCATCTCCCGCCCCCAGTCCTCTTCTCCCAGCGGCGTCGGCCAGCGGCAGCTACCCAACCACGTTTCGAGAAAGGGAGGGGTGAGCCGCTGCGGCCCTGTCAGCTACCTTGGGTGTCTACGGCCCGGTGCCTCCCTCCCCGCCTCCGCCCCGCCCTCAGGCCCCGCCCCTGGCCTGGAGGTCGGAGATGCGGGTCTCCACCCTGCCGCGAGACTCCGCCCCCAGGCTCGCGACACAGCTCCGCCCCGCCTCAGGCCCCGCCTCCAGCCTGGAGCTCCGCCGAGCTGATCTCCACCCCGCCTCCAGGCCCCGCCCCCCAGGGCGCAAGGACACACTCCGCCCCGCTCTAGGGCCCCACCCTAAGGCCCCGCCCCTCGCCTGGAGATCCCAGCTGTCGGTCTCCACCCTGCTGTCAGGCCCCGCCCCCAAGCCCAAGAGACTCGGTTCCGCCCAGGCCCAGCTCCCCAGGTCCCCTAGGCCCGCCCACGCAGCTTCTTCCCGGCCCTCAGGCCTCGTCTCGGCTGGCGGGAGTACTTCCGGCTTTCCTCCGCCCACAAGATGGCTGCCCGGCTGGGGCTTGCCACTGTTGCCTTCCTCTGCCTCTGCTCAGAATCAGAGAGGCCTATCATCCTTTTGACCAACCTCAGCCTCCAGTAATCTGTCAGTTCCTCTCATGGTTAGCCTCATCACTTTATAGTACAGAGTATAAAAGCAAGGACTTAAGTGTGTAAGTCCAAACCCTGCCTTCTACCTTTCCCAAAGTAGCCTGACCTTGACCCTCCTAAATCAAAAGAGATTAAAATATAAGCTTCAGTTGTGTGCTTGATTTAGAATAAAATTGTCAGCGATGACTGCTTCTATTTCTATTTTGGAGGAAACTCTGGGCGTGTTCTCTTAGCTTACTGAGAGGAATCTCCTAATATTCGTGGAAGTCTACCAAGGCTTCCTGAAGTCAACGTGTGAACTGTAGTTGAGTTAACTTTCTGGAACCCAAATTACTTCAAATTTAAAGCCTGATGTCAATGTCTTTATAAATCTTTCTTTAAAAAGTTCTTGCTTTGCCAATTTAACTGCTTTGTCTGGCAACTACAGTGTCCTATAGTTATGCAATTTTAGTGCAAAACTATATGGTTTATTAAGAAAAATCATAGTGAGCCAAGAGGGGGCTTAAGAATATGAAATTTAAGAAAAGGTGAACAGAACTGAAACTTTTTAAAAATACAGGCTCCTCACTTCTTTTTGGTTCATTGTCTTTTTCACTTTTAACCACGAACCTAGCTACTAAAAAAAATCTATACTTCAGTTATCTCAAGATTAGATTTCTACTTAGAAAATATGAAGACTAAACTAAATATTTCATGAACTTTAACTGTTAGAGGACTACTGAAAGATAGACCTGGAAAGGTAAGTTAGGGCCAATCTGTAGGAGTTCCTCATGTTGTCTGGGGTTTGAACCTTATCCTTTGACCACACAGTAAGATTGGTAGTTTCCCCACATGGGAACATGTCAGTGTACTTCATGCTATATGATCTGGACACTTTCCCAGGATACATTAAAAGATGAAAGGCAAGAGAAAGAGTATGGTAGCTTTGGGACCAGTCAAGACATAAGGAAATAACCTACTCTGGGCTGATGGCAGTAAAAATGGAGTAAGTTTGACAGGTATTTCAAAAGAGCTGTAGCATTTGATTCTGGTAAATGTTAGGTATTTCCTTATCCACTGAAACAAAGAGAAGGAATCAGAATAGAGTTTCCAATATATTTTCCAGCTCTAAAGTTCTGTTATCTGGAGATAAAAGGAAGGACTATTTCAATGCATTTACAAAGGAGGAAGAAGTTACAAAGAGCGAATTTTGTTCTAGACCTAAAATCTGAAATCCTGAGACACTATCTGTAATAATCTTCCTTGAAGTTATCATTCTTTCCATCCTGAGCCCCCTGGGAGTTTAGACATTTGTTCTAAAAAACCCCAGGCTTCATATGCCACCCCTAGATGGAGGAATGAAAGACACTTCACTGTTTTGTGAGCTAACAGTACTCAAGAAGGCATCAGCACATGTACATATGAATGTCAAAAGATATATTCACAGTCCATTGCTTTACATTTGATACATCAGTGTCTGCTTATATATTAGCTCTCGTTTTTCTGCTTGTTCATTCAATCTGAACTAAAATTAGACTTTGAAGCCAGGTGGTTGTGCTGCATGCCTTTAATCCCAATACTCTAGAGGCAGAGGCAGGCGAATCTAAGTCCAAGGCCAGCCTGATCTACAAAGCTACACAGAGAAACCCTGTCTCAAACAAAATAAAACAAAAAGAAAAATAAAATTAAATTTTGAAAATAAAACTTAAAAAAGGAGTAAGTCTACAATAAGTTATAAGGCCATATTTTGGTTATAAGTAAATGGTGAATAAGAAGAATAATAACTCTTTTATTCAACTACTATTTGTTAAAATAGGTAAGCATGAAAAACCACCATAAACTAGAACAATGTAAGGGCATTGACACAGTGCAGTATATACACTTAGAGAAGGCTAAGACCTGAGTCTGTTAATCTTTTTATCCCCAGAGCTTAGCCTAGTCCTTTCTGTGACATTTTATAGGCATTTTATAAATGGCTTTTACATGGTTGAATAAATTATAATCATCTACCTTGCCTACCAGCTAACCAGGGGTTGAAGTCTTTTATTCAATGTGAGGTTCTTTGCTATAAAGAACTGCTATGTAGCTGAACAGTAATTGATTTCTTATTTTTCCCTGCTTTCCACTTGGCTTAATTTTGTAGCCTAATTTTAATATTTGTCTAACTGGTTTATTTCTTTGTTGTAAATACTGTAACTTCAGTTAATTTCAGGTCATTTTAAGGCTCTGAAAATTGTCTTTGCCTATGCTTACAGGTGTGTGTGCTTTGACAAGCACTGAAGAGATTATTTTTCCCTCTCCCTGTCAAGCTGGTATTAAAACACACAAAAGCAATGAGAGGAGGCAGAGCCTGACCATCTCACCTGGCTGTTGATCTTGTTATTGAGAACAGGCAAGGTTCAAATACAGATAAATAAGCAGGGGCCATTGTTTGAACCAGAATTTAAGAAGTCAAATAGAAAAACCATAAAAACAGAGTTGGGTTGTGAAATTACAAGTAAAATCAGTGAATTAGATAAGACAGGATGCAGAAACCATAAAACAGAACCTTGGGGTCACTGACAACCTATTTCAAGATTTAGCTTCTCCATACTTGCGGTTTTCTTTTGACCACTTTATTTTGAAAGAACATGAGAAACAAAGAAATGCACTTGTCTTCTCCTCTAGTCTGCAAGGGAGTCCACTGAGTAATTAAACAAATGGTTTTCAAAGAATCTGCAAAGCATCTTTAAATTTGGGTGGTGTCCAAGATCAAATACTAAAACTAACTAACTTTGTATGCTAGAAAGGGGCAGTGGAGGAAACTTTGGATTTTATCCTTTACTTTGGAGTAAGTTTTTTTGTTCGTTTTTAATTTATTTTTATTTGGCAGCTTCTATGCAGAACTGCTCAATAAATAGCGCAGGGAAGGAATGGGGTTGAGGGGGAGATTTCATACCCTCAGCTCACGTTACTCAAACCCCAGGAGTATTCATCTAATCAAGAATGGTACTGGGTGGTAGTGGCACATGCGTTTAATCCCAGCACTTGGGAGGCAGAGGCAAGTGGGTCTCTGTGAGTTCAAGTCCAGCCTGGTCTACAGAGCAAGTTCCAGGACAACCAGGGCTACACACAGAGAAACCCTGTTTAAAAAAACAAAAACAAAATAATGTCAAGAATATATTTAGGGGGTCCAGTCTCCTCTGCTAGAAGGGACAAGGCCTTCTATCTCAGGCAGATGTAGGTCTAGAGCATGTCTTCACTTTAGGGCTGTTTCTAAATCGCACTCAGAAAGTCCATGCTATAGGTGCAACTGGGTGAGGTAGTTCTCTGATCCATGGGGTGTACTGTGGGCTATGCAGCAATACTCCATTGCAATCATTTCACCATCTCTTCAAACTTTGGCTTCTAAGAAATAGTTACAATTCCTCCTATTTTCCTTCAGAGATTTTTTAAAAATATGACTTTTGGTTAATCTGCTTTGTGGTTTGTGTTTTATGTAAGAAATCCTTTCTGTATAACACATACGGCAGCCTTCACTTATACTTTTCCCCTTAAGTGTAGCTTTTAAAATTGTTATATATTTGGTGCCATTGTTCAACTTCCCATTTGTCTCTGGAGCCCCATTCTAGACCTAAAGCTTAAAAAGCTCCTTCATGCCCAGGGGCCACTTCAGGGACTCCTGATACAATCAACATCAAAGTCCCACAACAGAAAATCAGGTAATAGAAATGTACAAAGAGATTTAAAAATCTGCAGAAGGTATTCAAGGAAGATAGCAAAGTGTTATCAGCTACTGGAAATACACGTTATCTTAAAGTCAATATGTTCTCTCCCATACTGGAGAGATAAAGCCAATAGCATGTGTGAACCAAAGGCTACCAATCATTCCCTCTGTGGGTAGGTGACTTACATGTTTGTCAAATGCCTAGCACAATGCTTATCCTATGTAATGTCTGACAGGGCCTTGAAGATGCCCTGTACAAGTCTCTTTACAGTTCTATTTTAGGTCAATGAAAAGCCAACTGCTTCACAGAAAGAAATCTATGGATGGAATTCCTGGAAGGTGTCCTCACAGCTGATCCCTGTTGTGGCTTCTCGTATCCACCTGCTCTCCCCGGTTCTTGGCTCAAATCTGAAGTTAGTTGTTGGGTTGGGGGCTCCAGCTTTTAAACTGCTTTGTGATGATTTATCCCTGCCACCTTCTACCTGCCCCCAAGGATTGATTCAGATCCCCCGTGGTGCCCACCTGTTACTGACTTGGCTCACTTGTGCACTGTGCTCCAAACCATCAGATCAGAGGACCTCCGTGTCTGCTCCTCGGTCCCCTCTGCCAGCCATAACTCTCCAGCTGCCGCCTTCTGGAAACCACCACAAACCCGCACAGCCAAGTTACTCCAACCGTCTGACCCAGGATCATCCTAGCAAAAGAGCCATCTCCCCGGAAGTGAAGTGCTGTGTTCAATACCAAGCCCTGTGTTGGGCCTGCTTTCCTCTTTCCAGATGACTCTGGTAG